TTATTAAAATGTATTACAAAATAAAATTTCCACTTAATTTCGACTATCACATTATTAAAATGACTTTAATAGTAGAATAGTTAATTGTCAACAGGTGTCACAGTTATTCATTGAAGCAGTAACTCAATCTAGATTGAATTTGAAAACAAAAATTTCAAAAATTCGACTAAACAATTATATAATACACATAATTTATCTGCTGCTTTTCATTTACAATAGGTGAGGTCAAGTTTTAGATAATCTTCCGATTATGCAATCTTTTTACACAGGTTAAGAAGTATATTAGAGAAACTTGGCCTCACAAAATTATTAAATAATAAAAAGGACAGTGACATAATTATGCAGCGGACAACATAGAAATAATAATACTTCAGAAAAGAGGAAAGCAAGGCTATACATAAAACAAGGCTTCGCAACAGGATACTAGTAATTACTAGCGCTCCTGGCGAGAGGAATCGTGAACAACACATTCAGGAGATACGCATTTCATGCTATTTTGACATAAAACTAATTCAAATGATACACGCAAATTTTTAAAAAAATTTTTAAAGGCTATAAAATCCACTAAAAAAAAAAAAAAAAAAAAAAAAAAGAAATAAAATTTAAAAAAAAAATAAATGTGTGACGTCACACATGGCCTGACCCCCCACTCCCCCCTGTCACAAACTGTCACACTTTCTTACGCCCCCCCCCTCCCCCCTCTGGAACGTGACGTACTTTATGGACGGCCCCTAACCATGAAATATTATTAAAATGAAGCCCTTTGTATTATGCAAATGTAGTTTAATACAACGTTATTTAAGTCTTTAAAGTTGCGAAGGTTCAAAAAGAAGCAAAAATACCAATAGGCTATGTGTTGCAACATGCGAACAACAAGAAATAATGTGTCACATAATCAAAAGCGGTCAATTTTCGGAACAGTACGATATTTATAGATTTAATCAAATACATTGAGCGTAGCGATATTTTATAGTTTCCAATAATTGATACAGGTTAAAGGCAGCAATAACTAATCTTTTTGATGTTGTTAAAAAGATGACAATTTAGACGTTTTTTAAATCAAATATATATTTTTCGTTATGTTGTTGTGCACATTTTTCTTCGAGGGGGTGGGGACTCTTGACGTGCTTGGAGGAGGGGGCGGGGCGCTTGAATAAAAACCACTGCATGCATGGATGATACAGCTTGGCACCAGTTGTTGTTCATCCGTCGAAGATCGACTAGGACCATCGAGTCGTGCGGTGTTTGATGACTGATGACTTGCGCGGATGACTTTTTGTTAAAAGTGAGGAAGAGTTGCGCGGCGTTGACCTCACTCTCTCGTCCGGGCCCACCTTTTCCAGTGGCAAGACTACGTCAAGACGACCAGGGATGAGTACGGATGCAGGATTTGGCACCAGTAGCGTCGCAGGAGCAGTCGTAATTTTCATTCTGTCAATGAACGCAATGTCGTACTGTCTACTGGACTCCAATTCCAGCTTTTGAATTTTAGATATTTTTCTTATTTTAGATGAATTGCATCCAAGGTTAACAAGTTTCACCCCCACCCCTACCTCGTTGCTGGTGGTATTTTTGCTTGTCTATGCTTTGCTGGTGTGCCTCACCTTGCACCCAAATAAAATTTTGCAAAATATTGATACGCAAACAATTAAGTTTTATGGAGCCATAACAAAAACAACTGTTCACCGGAAGTAAACAAATGCCATTCCCGTAGTATTTACACATTGGAAGGCTAAACTAATGTTATCAATCAATACAACATAACTGAAAAAAAGGCTACGCATATTGTCGTCCGCACAATTTTATTTCAGTTGAAAACTTCTGCTAATCGTCTTGGTACATTTTGTGCTGGAAGCTTGGTAAATTATGCATAAGAAATAAATTTAAATTAAATATACTAAAAAATGCTCGGGTGATATTTTTTTTACACCGGATCCGGGAATTTTGAGAAAATACCCGGAAGGTCGTAGTGTTTCAAAAATACAAGAATTCATTTCTCATTTTCATGATAAAACAATAGCTCTTCGAGTTCAGGCAGTCCTAAGCCTACACCCTAGCCCTAGTTCTAGTAGTACTAGAACCTGCAACAATATATAATACTAGCCGACCTGTGGCGTAGCATACGCCGCAGAATCGCTAGCTGGCTCAGAGCTTTTTGGGGTGTGTGGATTGCTGGCAAGCGAGGGTGGTGCAGGAGGGGGAAGGCGGTAGTTCCACCGCAGTGCGCATGTCTCGAGACCAACGATGGGCAGGCAAGGGAAGGGAGGGTTTGCCTGCGTCTTGCTTGCTCTGGCGTATCTATATACAGCCTGCGTCATCGTCGTCTTCTTGCCATAGTTTTTCTGGCGTATTATAAATATATAGATAGTCCTGCAGACAGTCCTAAAGCATACAAACAGTCCAACAGCTTACAGACAGCCCTACACCATATTGGTGGCTTTTTATTGATTAATATTATAGTTTAAGTATTATAGTTGCTTCAGAAAATATTCAACCTTTTAACTGAGAAGAACCATCAGGAATGACACTTGCTGCTGCTTAATAACGATATAAAAAAAAATATTTTTTTTTAAAAACTCAGTGCTATTAATATAAAAATAAAACAGTATTAATTATATTAAACATGTAGAGTAGGTGGAGGGTCAGTTGTGAAAAGGAAGCAGCCACACTAGAAGCAAAATACATATAAGATAGTCTTGTTGGGAGCACTGTGTAAACACAGTGGCAGTGGGGTAGTGAGTAGTCAGTAGTCTAATGTCACTAATGAATAGTGTGTAATGTAGCCTACCTACTTAAATAGTAACTTTAAGTTTACAATCTTGATCTTGAATTAGAATTACTTGATTAATAAATAGGCCTATTGATTACTGTTAATCATTGTCATTGTTAGGTGCATAATCTTGAATTACTTAATTTATGATACTTTTAGTGTTATGCCTGGACCAGTGCACTGAATTAGTCTTAGTCACTTACTTTCAAGTTAGTACATAGTATAGGGTACTGATCTTCTTGTTGTACTTGGTTAACTGGGTCTTTTAATGTGTTTTATATGTCTGTAACTGGGCTTGGGTGGCAGTTTCTTGCCTTTTACTTTAGTGATAGTGCCTTTAGTTTTAGACTTAAAGACCATATAGTGTAAAATCTGTACTAATAGGTTTGATAAAGGTATACTTAGCAGCATGGGTTTTTACAAAAAGTTGACTCGCCCTAAGTGTAGTGACATCACTTTGGGAATCCCAACACTGTACTTAAGGGGTAAGCTGAACAGGTTCTATTATAGAACACTAATTGGACCTGAACAATTTGTATGACAACTTTCCCATTCTTTACTGGTTCACTGAGCATAAACTAAATCAGACGCTCTGTACAGTTAATATTGATAAATACATTAGAATGAATATTGCGTTTCAACTTACAATAAAGCTCAAAAGAAAGAGAAACTTATCAAGATGCTCATTGCTAAAACTAAGAGTGCTGTATTTTTATTTGTTGAAAAAAGAAGTAGCTGTGTGCCATTCATTTCTGTCATATTGCAATTACACGGGACATTTCATTATAATTATCTGGGAAAGAGAGACCCTCCCTGCCTCCACTTTCTAGACACAAATGAAATAAAAAATCGTTTATCACATTAATACATTGGTAAGAATCAAAATCTTTTTAATGTGATACTATGGCAAGTAGTTGATCGGGGGAAGCTCCATGACTATATACAATGGAAGACATTGGCAGCCTTGCTGCTGAGTAAATCTTTGCTGTTAGTTTAAGTAAGTTTAGTTATGACTCAACACTCAACCTACTTGGCTACTACTACTACTACTCATCTAAGTACTATTCTAGTGCTGGTGATTAGAGACAAGACTTAATACTAGAATTCACTCAGAGTGCTGCCATTACAATTGATAAGTTTCATGGGTTATCCAAACAACACTATTATTATTCTTATAGTTTTGTGACTATGTCTATATCATCATATAAATCAATTAGGCTTTATCAGTATATGAATAGATTGAGTATAGAGTCACAGTATTCAGTAAAGAAACTATGAAAATGTTTTAATAAATTTTATAGTAACCGTACTTAGTACATCAACACTTTATTAATTAAGCAACTTTTACTTGTCAACTCAATAGGCCTAATTCAGTAACAATCATCTTGACCATGCCAATAGCCCATTAAATTTAAATGGATAATGGAATATCATCGTATTTAAGCATCAGAAATTAAAGGCCATTAAAAAGTGATCTTATTTTAGCTATTTTAATTTATTTTACCCCCCCCCCCCTTCTAGCTACTCCATTAAACAATGAGAGCTTATATCTGTATTTAAAAAAAGGCTTAACAATGAATTTTACTGATAATTGGTTATGAAAGTTATCCATCAATAAGTTCTAAAATAGGAATTTGATGGGGAACAAAATATTTGTAAACCAATGATAATGTTTTAGATAAATCCTTTTACTTGCTAACTGCTTAAAATGGAATGTTGATAAATATACATAAGTTATCTTTTCATGTTGAAAACGGACCTAAGGACAATTTTTTCAAATTTAATTTTTAGAGTATTATGGATTTTTATTTTTAACCAATCAATTGACTAGCAAATGTAATTCTAATCATTCTTTACGTTTCACTGAGAGTCAAATATTCACATTGAGTTCACTCAAGCAAAAAGAGAGTTAGAGGCCACTATACCGTTGGATTATTCAGAAGATTAAGAAGAAAGACAGTTAGTATAAATCTGAATTGAGAATAAAAATTTAAATAAAATAAATCAATGAAAGAATTCTGCAACTTCATGAAGTTTAATGACTGATATTTAATATGTGTTAAAAAAACAACATCACACAATAGGGCCATTATCATATAAAAATTAATTTTTATCATCTATTTTATGCAGGGTCAATATATTTTTTTGTATGTTGATGATGAAATCTTATATTTTAAAAAGCAACTTTTTCTAAATAATCATTTACTTCTCATTCATCCTTAATTGTTTAGAGCCAACATACAGAATGGAAGATGATACAAATATTGCTACCACAAGTAGTAGCAGAGGACAAGGAAGAGGATGTGGCAGAGGCAAACGAGGTGCACGTGGTGGCCATAAAACAAATTATGGGCGTTCAAAGCTACAAAATAGATTTCTGTCATCAAACAAATGGACACAACAGGAGAAGATTCGTTTGTTGGAAGGGTTGAAACGGTAATCTGCCCAAATAACTGGTAACATTTGTAAATTTGGCTGGGAGAGGGTTGTTGATCTCATCTTGACTTAAAAGTTATTTTTTCATCAACTATCATCAATTTTTTATGAGTATAAATTTTATAAAATAACCAAATGTTTTTTAGCAAAAAAATAATCATAGGTTTTAGACGTCGGATGATTGATTTTGTTGTGCAAGCAAAAATTTTTTGGTTTGTTTGATTGTGGTGCACTAGATTCCAAGTTAGTTGTTAACTTCATGTGTAGCTTATATTTGTATGTTATACTTTATTTACTTTCTATGTCACTCTGTGTATCCCTTACATAAAATAAAAAGAGACTATGAACTCCTTTAGGAATACTTTTATGAGCTTTTGCTTTATTATTTGTTAAATAAATTTGATATATTTACTGCTTTACAATAAACTTAAATATCATTTTTGTAGATATGGGGAAGATAGTGATGTCCTTGCTCAAATTGTTGAAACAAGAAGTATTGAAGAGGTAAGTCTTAACCAGCAGAATTTAATCTGGTAGCCAATGTCATGTCCAATCATTTTTATGCCAGAGGCTGGGCCGGCTGAAAATTTCACAGAGAGCTGTAAAATAGCTTCAAGCGAGTAAACATAATCTGGAAAACCAACTTTTACTATAGGAATTATGTATTTTTTACTTAACCAAAAAAAAAAAGTTTTTCAGTTCTACACTCAATCATATTCATTTAAATAATATAACGTGTACAATGCTATGATAATTAATAATATAAGATTTACAATGCTATGTACAATTAACTTATCATCTTCCCACTATACTGACATCTAACTTAAAGAGGGTTTTTTTTGCCATCACTTTAGAGATATTAAACTTTTTCATCTGCATTGCCTGAAGTGAGATTTTATTGGAACTTTTTGTGCTTAATACCTTTATTAACCTAAAATATGTAGAAATAAGATAAAATAAGGGTAATTGATTATTATGTAACTGTGTTGTATTTTACAAGGTCTTTTAAGATAATGAATGAACTAAAATAATTAAATTTGTTGTATTTTTTTCAGATTGAGAAAAAAATCCGCTCAATAACGGCAGCCGGAATGATAAAAGGCACGGATGAGAGGCTAGAAGGTAAGTTTACATAAAAACTTCACTTATAACTGGGGACTTATATCCTAAAACTTATGAAAATTCCCCCTTTATGCAGTGGAACCCCGCTATAACATTGTCATGGCATGGCTCCAGAAATTTGTTATATTCAATCGCACATTAAATTTTTTGGATCAAAAAAAAAAAAAAAAAAAGAGTATGAAAAATATATTGACAAATTCATCATAGACTAGTACAACTTTACTACATAGTTCAATTAACACAAGATATTGAAAAACATTTTTTTTTTTTTTTTTAAATCACATATTTTCCTAATTTAAAAAATAAAAATTAAAAATTGCAACACTTATTACTCTGAATATTGTAAAATGCCGCCATATCACGTTTTGCTATTCACACTATCCAATTTTATGGACCCCATTTATCATGTTATAGAAGGGGTCGACTGTATTTAGAAACACAAACTTGAATGTTTAAATATTGTTTTGTTCAGACATTCTATTATCTGGGCTCATACCCATGTTATGTGGCCAAGCAATGGACAATGTACATCTGGCTGGCAAAAGGAACAGCAGGACTGTAGTTTTAGTTAGATGAAAGGCAAGAGCATTGCAGAAACCTTGACTCAAGCGTTACTGTTAATTTTTGAACAATACCTAATACCTACAAAAAATGTAGGTATTCTTCAACTTTTAGCATTTTTTATTAACATAACTAGACCTATAACAATTCGTCCAGATATTTTGCTCTCATTAAAATACTAAAACTCACAACTCAGTAGCAAAACAAGTTCACCCTAGACACAGTGATTCTCATAATTTTTACTCACATGAAACTTGATTTACTTTTTAAGTACCATAAAACCTATTTGAAAGAAAAAATTTAACTATTCTTAATTGTAAGTTTAATTCACTAAGATACATTTTAACATGACTACATTTTAAAAATTTTATTAAAGTACAGATAGGTTAAAACCTCTGCTGTACAGAAAAGAGCTAGACTTTATAAATATTTTTCAATAGTTTTGGGAATCATATTTGTATAAAATGTATAAAGAGGTTTAATTTTTCATGTCTAATTTGCAACAACAAAAAAAAAAAAGATATATAACCCTTTAAAACAATATTTGAAGTGTGTCCATAAAAAAAAAGGTAGATACATTTTTTCTTCAAAAGTTGTGAGCTAAATTTAATTTTTGTTTCCCACTCTAATTGGTCAACTTTATGTATCACCTATACAGGATCAGGTGTTGTTACTAAAGCTCCATTAGAGGTAGGTTTTTACTGGATTAAATTTGGCCTGCATCAAAATTTGGGTAGATATTCATTTACTGTTGCTAGTATTGGAGATGTATATCAGGATGGACTATGAGGCTTGCTTTTTATTTTAAAGGGTTGTAATACAAATTTTGTACTACTATACATCAGTGATCATGGGATGTTATAATGTTAAGTTAATTCACTATAACTGAAGCCATACCTATTCATAATTTAGGGTTCAACCATTTCCAGAAAATGTCAAATATTCTTTTTGATTTCCCTTCAGGCATGGCTTGATCTCATGCAAGACCTAAAATTCTATGAACCTCAAGATTATTCAGTTATGATCCCAGAGGTAAGACTGATATACCGCGTGTTTAATTAAATGTGTAAGAATTAATGTATGGTTAATCAGAATTTAAATTAAATGAAAGTTTTGTTTAAGTTTGTTTTATAGCAATAAATTAAAGTCCACAATCTTCTGATGACTTTCATTATCCATTTGATGAGTTTTTCAAATGACTTGAATTTTAAGTTATTCCTTTCTCAACCAGATGCTTGGTCTTATCACCAGAAATGAACATTTTAAAGACAGCAATATCCCCAATCTAGACTGGAGGAAAATTTACCAGTTTCTCACAGATGTAACTGACGATAAATGTACAGTAACGTCTTTGACTGATATAGGTCTGTAACAACAATAATTGCCTTTTAACTTCATGCACAAGAACTTGTTGATTTTTTAAAAATATTTTTGCTGAGCCAGGGACTTGATTTCCCTTTACAAGTTAATAAGTTTTTTTTGGTAAACGGTAAATACATTTTGAATCAGTATAAATTCCAAAAATGACCACATTTCAAGTTCATATTAGTATCATTGACTGTTAGGTAAGTCTTTACATTCCAATATGTGGACCATTAGCAACTCTTACACAAACTTTGACTAACATTTGGCACCAAAGTAAGGGTGTTCAGGTTATTTTTTTGGCAAACCGATTACGGTCGAGTATAATTTTTAGCCTTCATAGAAATACATTATTTCCTTCTGATAAGTATACAATGTGCTCAAGACACTTCTAAATTTCACCACCCATCTCACTGCTGGTAGATTTCTTGTTAATATTAAACAAAATATTCTGTGATCATTATACTATACAAATTGAAAAATTTGTTTAAAATCATCTTCAGTTTATTTTTACCGGTATATTAAGTTAAATCATTTTATATTGTTAGCCACATTACATTTTGTTATAATTGCTCTGGCAGTAATGATCTTTTTTGTGTGTTCCAACCAGAATCTTTTGTTGTTCTTGACCTTATGCACAGTCTTGGTGACAAACTTCATGCGTCTGACACAACAGAGCAACGACATGCCCTTGACCTAAAATACCACTTGATAAGCTTCAAAAATTCAAAACAAAACATTGCTCAGGCCCTTGGAAACAGTAAGTACCATACATTTAAATGCTTTTCATACCTGTTACTGGTACACCTGTAATGGTATTGATCATGTCTAAGCTCTTTCACTGACAAAAACTGTGTTTTATAACCTTTGTTTCTACAAAATGAAACTTCAATCTGTCAAGAGGTTTTGTGTGTGTTTAATGTTCAGAGTGTATGTTACATTAATTTATGTTAAATTAAAAGTTATGTTTTCTGCAATTAAATTTATTTGAATAGTAAGTAAGGCTTCAACTTAAATTACTCTAGTCTTTTAATTTTATCTAAAACAAAATATCATTGTATCAATTTCTCAAAATATATTTATTGCAGGAGTTTATCTAAACATGATAAACGGAGTTTATCTAAACATGATAAACCTTGTGTATGCCTGACATCCATGAATGTCAATTTCTAAAATTTGAAACAAAATTATGTTTGCCCCATTGAAATTCAACAATTATTACTGGATTTCATGGGGAATTAAAATTAATATTGATTAGGAAAATTTTAATGTTAGAGACTTCCGTAAAGACTGTTTGAGACAAGCCTACTTATTTTTGTTGCACATTTAATTCAACTTGTATGAAGATTTGTTTAAAAAAATATATATTACATTGTAATTTTTACATTAACTTAATTTTCATCCTGTTCAATAGATTTCTCAGATCCAGAAGAAGTTGTCCAGTGCATATCACATGGCAAATCACCTGAACTGGAAGCTACACCACATGAAAACACTGTGTCTGATAAATTTCTCAGTCCTGAAACAAACAATCCAATGACCGGCAATCCAGAGACCAGTATGGTGGGCTCTCTGGATTCATCATCACAGCATACTACCAAGGACAACAATAATACATTTAACCCCTGTGGAAACAGCCCCCAAACTTTTAGTTTGAATAATCCCAAGGGGGTAACAGATGATTCTGCTAAGGTGAAAGCTTTTGTCAAACCTAAATTGTATACACTGAATCCCCTCTGCATAACAGCAGAGCATCTAAAACTTCAGCCCAAATCAAATGGTCAATAGGATTTCAAAATAGTCAATGATTAATGTATATTCCCTTCAAATCAGTACCAGTATTGTACACTTTAAAATTCTCATTTTTTTCACAAATAAAATTAAGTTCAATGCAAATTTTCCTTTAATATTTTTTCACCCAATATTATTATAAGAAATTTGGTTATTGGAATTCAAATTAAATTTTGCTCGCTTACTTCTTTTGGTTGTCTCACATTATGTCTTCAGAAACATGTTATAATACTGTTAGATTTCTATAATAGCAATAGCAAGGTTGGTGAGGTTAAACATTTTCTTGAAAGAATCATTCAAGTGAAAAATTTTAAGTGCATGCTGAGAGAAAGTAATTTTGCCATTGCTAGATGATGAACATTTTAAATTCAAAGGCAGATTTAAATTTAAAATGTTTCATAAAACAATCACTTGTATCATACATTATGTTTATTGAAGAAAAATACATACCGGTACATCTATTTACACATATTGACATATGCCCTCATTAAACTATACATTTGTTGTGTATAATTCTTGGTTTTCACTTTAATCAGTTTAAGGACAAATATTTTGATATAAATTGATATTTTACAAAATATAACTAATTCAAGAAATTGTATTAGAGTCAGCTGTTATGAGACGTACCATGAAAAGGATTATAATTCACAGCCCACACCAGTAATCAGGTTGTAAATAAAATAACTTCAATAGGAAATATGATATTAAAAGGGTTTTTGGTACCGGTACTCAAGAGCCTCACATTATTAATTGGAACAGCACCATTCTAAACACAATGGACATCCTAATAAGCTGGTCCAGGTGTAATGCCAGGGTTCAAATATAGGGATAAAGTTTATCCTGAACAGGTTAGTTATTAGCTAAGTACTATTCATATTTTAGTCAATCTTCAGTAGCAATGGGAACAATATAACAAATGTAACAAAAAAAACAATACAAAGCATAAAAAAAAAAAAAAGTTTAAATTATGAAATTGGACCGGCAGCAAAAATAAAACTTTCAGCACCATTCCATGTTATTATTAGTTTAAAAAGAAACTACATTCAGAAATACTAAAAATTATTTAAGCCTTGATGAATTAACAGAGAAAATTAAAATACACTGATGCTCATGTTAGATGCTATGACATAATTTTATCGGTAGTGTCATCACTGGCTGTTTCTGATGTAGTCTTCTCTCTTGGCTCTTCCTCTTTGAAAGACTTCTGCAGGACGTATGCATCAGCTGGCTCAATACGTTTGTAATAATTTTTTTTCTCTTCAACAATTTTAAACCCAAATTTCTCATAAAATTTGATGGCACCTTCATTGTTGACTTGGACATGCCTAGGGGTTTGAATGGAGCAAATTATTGTTTATTTAAAACTGATGTTATTAAAGTATTAGGATCAAAAATCATTTTTTTTTTTAGATTTGTGTCCTAAAATTGAGTTTTTATTTAGCAGCAAACATTAATAAATTTTAAAATGGAATTTAATGATTTTTGATCCTAATACTTTTAATTTTAAAATTTTTTCTCTAGTTTGTGAGTTACTGTACAACTCTACTATGTAGCTTCAAAATGAATTTATTATTACAAGGTTACATTTATGACAATTAAAGGATATAAGTTTTTGTAAAATATATATACTTACAGAAAAACATTATCAATGTTGCCATCTTTTTCACAGATTTTTAGAACATGTTCCAGCATTACAGTGCCTATAAACATAAATAATGCACACAATTTAATTTTAAAGGTACTAAAGAATCAGCCAAATTTTATTATGAAGCCAAAATATAAAAGTACCGGTATGCTAACAAAAAGTTGAAATAAATGACCTCTCAATATTTAGAATAACACTTTTTAACACTACCGGTATAATCGTCTTATAACATTTTTCTGTAGCGTCAAGCCATTTTTAGAATTTTCATATGCTTTTCAAAAATGAAAAAATCCCAGACTAAATAATTTAGAGACCATTACAAGTATACATTTTCTCAAAGAAAATTGGACAAGATATCTTATGGTATGAAAATTATTTGTTTTTATACTCTTTCTCTCTATATATATGTGCGTGTGTTAAAATTGACCTGGACCTTTACAACGTGAGTAAAATTTTAGAACCGGCACCCACCAACTTCTGAATTCAACCAACCTTAAATATCCCATAAATTGTTCAAACTATCATAAAATCAAGTTTTTGAGACACAAGAAGCAATATTTCTTTCAGAAAATGTCAATTTAGACTAACTTATAATGAAAATTGTAATACCGGTACCCGTATTTGTAGGTTTTTTCGTTCACTACCTGTAAACTTCTGTCATATGAAATACAGGGGGAAGGCATGAAAAGAATTCAAAAATTTCTTTTCAAATGAAGTTACTAAATCCATATTTAAAAAAATTAATCCTCCAGAACATACATAAACATAAGCGTCTTTTCGGATCCAATCTTTGCCCTTTCTGTTTGATTTTTTTAGTTCAACTCCTACCATGACGGACTCATCAAACACATTATTTTACAGCAATTCAATACATAATGATATATCTTTCAAATGAATCTGTTAACAGATTAAGGCTGGTGTAATCTGGTAAAAGATTTCAGGGAAGAAAGGAGGTTATTTCAGTTGCAAAAAAATAATTGGCTCAAGATGTATGTTGCAAATGATTTAGTCATAATTGAGCAAAAAGCAAGAGTTCTTCAGAGATAGTCAATAATTTAAGATCATTTTTGGTTAATAATATAGACTTTAGAAATTGAATTAATAAAACATGCCTATTCCAAGTCTTCGATACGGAGCCAAGCAGCCTAATGTCATGATGTATAAGCGTCGAACATTCTCAGATGTGTCAATTCTACAGCAAACTGCTCCAATGACAATATCATTATAATAAGCTGAAAAGAATAAAAACACCAAACATAATCTTACAGGGTTTACACTGATACAAATATTTGCAGGTAGTGGCAAAAAATTATTTGGCCTAGCTATATCCTCCGAGGCCGATTAATTGGCAGACTATAATTTAGTATGTATTAAATGCAGGTAATTGGAAGGATTAGAGAAGATAGCATGAGACCATAAGGCTTGAAAAGAAATTATTAATGGCCTATGTATGCTCCACTGGAAATGCAAAGAGGAAGAATTTATTTGAGATTTTACAATTAATCACTGTTGTAGCATAGCTTTACAAACTTTTGAGTAATATGAGATATTACTATAACTAAAACCTTGAACCATTAAGGGGCTGCAAAGCTTAAGGCACTCTACATATTATCAATAACTGCTTCTTAAAAATTACAGTGATTCTGAATTTATTTCTAAATTATACAGATCAAGTCTTTAGTAAATTTAATGATCAATGTTTCTAAAAATTAAATAGCTAGTCTTTGAAATAGGGTACTAATCTTTCTTAATTCTCAAAACAAAGATAAAATATACATTCATAAGTCATATAAAGTTTTAGACTTACCTAATTTTGCAAGTTCACCAACCTCCAAGACATCTTTGTAGAATTTGTCATTGTAAGTTACAGGAAACACAACTTGATTGAGCCTTTTAAGTTGTTTGATGTTATGAGGAGTGATGTCACCGAGTTCAGTACGGCCCCTATAAATGAGACCAGTGAATAAATGATTTTGGTAAGAAACTGATATCGTCTGCACAGTAAATTAGACTTTCTAAATGATAATAATTTGTAAATACCGGTACCAAAATAAAAACTATTAATGGGGAAAATCTTATATGTTGGCTTTCATTATGATAATGAGTAATACCAATATTTATCTAATCAAACATGATGCTTAAAGGCTAGATTAGTCATATGACACAGCAATGAATGTGACTGATAGACCAGGTAGTGTTTTTATATAATATAGAGCTTTAGGTCTTTATCCGGTCCTGGAAGCAGTACAACTTTGCAAATAAATCGACTGTTGTGACCACGGTTACACACATTCGCAATAAATTATCAATTTCAGAGTACCCAGTGTCGAGTATGAGCGTTCATTAGTAATTGTTGCGACTCAATATTATGTTCATTAGTTGTTAAACGCTTTTCCAGCGCTTGACTATTATAGTTAGTGAACGCTCTTCCCGCCATTGTCTCTATGACATATTTTTATGCTGATTCGTGACGTATTGCCTATGCAGTATTGTGATGTATGTTTTAGTCGTGCGGCAGTCTTGAGTGGAACTTTGGAGTGATAGGATGTGTATTATTTAGGTCTGATAGCGAGCTGCGCTATATTCACATGCTATGTGTATTATATTTAATTATACATTAAAGTTATATTTATTATGAAAAGGAGTTGAGTTTGTTCGATGATAGTGAGAATAGTACGACACTTCAACGTGTGAAAAGAACTTGACGAATGTAATCAATCCAAGAAGACTGTATAGGAGTTGACACCCGGTAGCCCAAAACTACTTGTGTAAACTTAATCAGGCTCTAATTAAAATATGAAATTAATATCAAACAAATTATTTTGTGTCTATATCCAGAATTTTTTTTAAAAATCTAAATTTTACTTTGCATAAAAATAAATTATTGAAATAAAAAACAAAATTAATGATTAAATGCAGAAAGTGACCAAATCCCCAAAATTTTGCTAATTTTTCTTTTTTTAACCTGGCTCCCCTCCCCCACCACCTAAAAATCAAAATGTGTTTTCTTTAAAGTTCATAAATCTTGAAGATGTAGAAAAACAATGGAGAGCTTTGCCAGTCCATTCAACACTTATTAGTCACTTAGCTGGGCAGAATAGGTAGACAGGGTTGCAAAGTGGGGTTTTAAAACTTGGTCAGTACTCCCAAGTACATTTGACATTTGTAATTGGTGCATGATTGTAGTGTTTGGTTTGGTTACCGGAAATTTGTTTGAAAGAAATTTCGTCTACGGAAAATTGATCGAACGGAAATTTGGTCGAAACATTTTTTCAGTTCACTCATTAAAATTTTCGTCAAATTTCTTTTTGAACACACTATACTATATTATATACTATATGGTAAAACAAAATAATGCGTTCAAAAAGAAATTTGACGCAAAATTTTAACGTGTGAACTGAAACACAAACAAATTTCCGGATACGGTTTGGTACATTTTAATTTGTTCTTAATTTTTTTTAATTTTATAACTTTGTATTAAATTTATTCACAAATTACATGACTTCTCCTTCAAATTATTTCTAAAAGTAAAAGACTAAAAGATCAATTGAAATATATAACAATATTATATTATATAACAATGGTGCCACATCCGGCCCGCCGTACAATATCAGGCCCGCGAGGTCTTGACCAGCGTACACTTATATCCTTATATCAATGCTCACTTGCTGAAAAACTTAGTTTACTTCGTGCTGAGTTTGCGCTGCGCTTTAGTGACTTTGAAGCACAGAAATGTAATTTGCGAATTGTTTCGTAACCCATTTGTCATAGACGTGGGAACTGCATGTGTAAATTTGCAGATGGAGCTAATAGAGCTGCAGTGAAATGGAACACTAAAAGTACAACACAGTTGGGCCTGCACAGTTCACTGGTTTCATTCCTGAAGAGATGCCCCAGCTTCGTCTACATGCGGCTTGAACCTTGAGCCTTTTGGGCATTTTGGGTAGCACATATCTGTGTGAGCAGCTGTTTTCTGTGATAAAGATTAGCAAAGCATCTCAAAGGAGTTGTCTCACTGATGAACACTTGCAGTCCATCATGAGAATCTCAATGACGCAGAAAGTTACTACTAATATGAATGTTTTTGTAGCCAAGAAAATGTGCCAAACATCAAGCTCTGACAAATTGCATAAGAACGAAAATGGGTATGCCAATGATTTTTAATTATTACACCTTTTTGCCGTTTTCATTTATATAATTTTTTTTTTTTTAAATATTAATTTTCCCCTTATTGCATGTTTATCCTGTTGGGCCCGCAACCTTACATATGATTTGAGTTTTGGCCCGCCGAGCGATTGAGTTTGACACCCTTGTTATATAACTACAATAGCTGTGTGACTGTTTCATTATTAAATAATATAAATATTATTTATTAATTATAAGTTTAGTATAGGCAATTCAATAATTATACAATAAGGTCTACACTACTATTTGAAGTATTTGTGGTAGGTTACTAAGGCAAGGCAGTTCCCTCTACTCAATTCAAGACAGGTCTCAGTCTGACTCAGGTTTTCTTTCAGTGCCCTCCCGGTGAAAGCCAATGCCCCCCCCGAGCAAAAATATGTCCAACAATAAATCAACTGACACTCCGCCCCCCCTGAAAAAGGTGAAATCCCCCCCCCCCGGAAAATTTCAGAAATTATGACTGGTCTGACTCTTACTCTTAGTCAACTCCAACTCTGTGACTGAAAATTAGTCTGACTCAGGTTTTCTTTCAGTGCCCTCCCGGTGCAAGCCAATGCCCCCCCCGAGCAAAAATATGTCCAACAATAAATCAACCGACCCTCCGCCCCCCCTGAAAAAGGTGAAATCCCCCCCCCCCCGGAAAATTTCAGAAATTATGACTGGTCTGACTCTTACTCTTAGTCAACTCCAACTCTGTGACTGAAAATTTTCACTCAATTTAATACCACAGTGCTGAAAAAGAAACTTAGTCTTAGTAAATTAAGTTATACCTAACTTAAAAGAAGGGTGTAGGGGTAGGTCCCTACCAACAACTAACCCAAGCCACCCAATAATTATATTTATATCATAATATCATGAAACATGTTTTACAATTTAGTATTTAGCCTATACCCTAATCTAATACCAAGTAATAATCAGACTATACCGTACTATATAAAAAAATATATATTCAGTATAGTAGTAAGTACTAAGTAGAATAGTCTACTACAATAGGCTGGTCTAGCTAGACTAAAAACTAACATTCTCAAACCAAGTCAGCCGAGTAAAATGTTACTGGACCGTTAAGTCGTTTAGTAAACAAAATTGTGATTGTCAAAACAAACTACAACAAAGTTAAAGAGGTCAAAGAAATGCCATGGGAGCTATGTATGTTATTTTGGAGTAAATCACAATGGGTGATTATTGAAAATTTACATTATATTCTACGTACTTGGTCATATCTGATTTTTTTTCTTGGAATTTAGTACCGGTAGTGAAATATTCACAATTCAACTGGATACACGGTGAGGCAAACCGCCAAGGGAAGTAGAATATTTTTATTTACCTAAGCCAGGTGTTTTCAAGGGAAGATTTGCAATAAATTATGTCAATAATGCACCACATTCTATTTACATATTTTATTTTAAAAAATTATGGTGAGAGAAAGCATAATTTCATCTATAAAAAATGAAAAAAACTTAATTTTTTAAAATTACAATTACAATAATACAATACAAGAATTTTAATACATTATAAAAAGTAACGACATAGCTAAGTTACCAGTTATGGTCAAGTACATGTTAAATGTTTGAGAACGACTATTTCCTAACTTACTTAGCATTATGAATTATATTAAATGTAATAATTTAAGTATATTTTATATAATGAAACATATCTTAATCAAATAAAATATTAAAATTCTATAATTTTATAATTGGGTTTTCATAGGTGACCTTAAAATTAAAAAATGTTTTTATTTTAATCATATTTTCCACCTGTAACTTAAAATAATAATGATTTAATTCAAACAAATTGAAAATGAATAATTTTAAATGAGATAATATGAAGTGGAGATTCAGATCGTTCGTGACTTTATTTTAAAAGACTATTTTTGTCTTAATTTTTTTATATGAAGACGGGAATAATGGAGAATTTTTAATTACCTGGCGCTTATAATATACTCCCACTACTTTTTTTTTCTTATCTTCTGATGCAAAGATTATTTGAACAGAAAATTGCTGACATTCTTATTTAACTTGATTTTTTTTAATTAATATACATTAATTACTAATAATGTAACAATTAAGATTTGCAAAAATTGACTGCACTTATATCTGCGGAGGGAATGCAGGCCATAATTGTAACGGCAAACATGGCCGCCAAGGATTACAAGAGAGGAAGAAAACAATAAACCTCACTTTCAAAGTTGCCTAGTCGTTCTCTTTGTTAGTATTATTTCCTACCAGTTGGCCTCAGGTGAATAAGCAGATAATTAAATATGTTTTTTCATTCATTGCGTCCATGAATGTGTGCATATGCCCAAACTGTTATTTCAAAAATTGTGCTGCAGAGTCGAGTACTAGTACTAGGTTCCCGTCCGTCGAGAGGCCTGAGAGGAGATTGAGCTTGAGATTCAAATAAATTAGTTATAGTTTCCTAGAATTCTATTTAATATATATTATTTATTATTGTTATGCCAAAAGTACCCACTAAAACTGATGTATTGGTCTATGTGTCTATGTCCCAGACTTGGAGATCGGTTTCAAATTTAATTTGATTGTAGTCACCAACTAAATCCAGGGACTTGAGGGACACTGTTCTCTTAACTTTGTAAATAGTAAATCCTAGTCCATTAACAAAATTAAATTAACACACTGTTACACACACACTGAAACTGGATAACTGAAGTTTCACTCAGATTCACTGAACTCAACAGGCAGAACAGTACCGTTAGTGACTATTAACAATTGTAGTAGTAACAGGCCTGACTTGTGACTGAGTAATGTTGTAATGTGTGTAGTGTACTGAACTGTGTTCCAGTGAACTTCTTTTTTTTTAATTTCATTTAATTAAATGATTAAATTTAAATGATTTAATCATCAATTAAATTTCTTGTCATGAGTCATATGATGTATGATTGTAACTTAACATCATAGTTGGTTATAGTGTTATAGTTTGATGAACCATTCTCCGCAACTCTGATGCACACCACAAATTCAAATAAGCCTAAAAAATGAGTTAGCTCACAATAGTATTTTATCATAACTGACCCCCAGAGTTATTTGAGCTTTATACTTCTTACTACTATTACTACTTGGCCAGTAAATTCTGTCCAAGTAGTAATAGTAGTTCACTGGCCAGACAAAATCAGCAACCAGGAACTGTGGCAGCGGACAAAACAGAAGCCCATTGAGGAAGAGATTCTCCAGAAGCGGTGGAGGTGGATTGGTCATACACTAAGAAAACCTGCTTCTAACACAACAAAGCAAGCCCTGAAATGGAACCCACAGGGTAAGCGGAAAAGAGGCCGTCCAAGAAACACTTGGCGCCGAGAATTGGAGACAGACATCAAGAAAATTGGCCATGAATGGAAGATCCTGGAGAAGCTGGCCCAGGATAGAGATGCCTGGAGGTCTCTCGTAGGTGGCCTATGCCCTTGGAGGAAACGCAGACGCCGACGATGATCGGTGGATGCCCCTCATGGACGAGAAGGCTCAACAAAAACTATTACTACTTATAGTCAATGTTCCCTCTAAGCTGCGCGGCTGCGCAGCAATCTTACAGATGCTGCACAGAAGTTTTGAGTACCACGCAGCTAATTTCCACTTATGTGTCTGTAGGCTGAAAATTTTGCACACAAAAAAATTGATGCTGTAAAAATTTGCACACAACTTTATGATTTTGCACCCGAACAAACAAACCTTAGAGGGAACATTGCTTATAGTTATTGTCCAATAATTTAATGAATTAATTGTGTACTTGCTTCGACATTATGCATACATATATTTAAGTTGAGCCTGCATACCCTATCTAAAATTATTATTCATCATAAGTCTAAAGTGATTCTAGCTTGTTAGTCTTTATTAAGTACTAAATACTGATTTTACAGATTATAACAGAATATCATATTCAATAATTAACAAATAATTCTTCACTTCACAGCTCACGCTTTGCATGAGGACATCTAGATTAAGGATTTTTAACAACAAAACGTAAGTAACTTTACAAATTCGGAACTTATCTAAAATCTTTGTGGCTCTTAATTATTTGCAGAATTGACCCAATTATTTGGCATCCTTAGTGAAATTTTAACACTGTTTTTAACAAGTAAGAAGATCAATAATTTTGTTGTTATAATATAAATATAAATAATAAAAACAGATTTTGTCATCACTTGTGGTGATTCAGTAATGTGTTGTTTAATTTAAACTAGTTTTAGGGTATTCGTGATTACGCTGAATGAGAATATTTATTCTTATTCTCGTGTGAGAATATTAATTCTTATTCTCGTGTGAGAATATTTATTCTTATTCTCTTGTGAGAATATTTATTCTTATTCTCTTGTGAGAATATTTATTCTTATTCTCTTGTGAGAATATTTATTCTTATTCTCTTGTGAGAATATTTATTCTCTTGTATTTTTCACATACTTTGGAAAAATAATCATCATTCAGATTCAGTGGCCAGTTGGGCATGTGCCTTTCTGCCTGCAGGCATGGTGAAGATTTTACACACTCTACTCACTGTTCTTTGTTTGAATAAAGAGTGTTGATGTCAGGTGTTTTTGTGGTAGTTTAGTTGTAAGTCCTGAAATGCCAAGCGATTGAAGAAGTGATGTGTTACTGTTTCATTTGGATTTCTGCAGAGGGGACACCTTGGTGTTTCATCTGGTTTTATGAGGTCAAGGTGGGAATTTAGTTGTTTGTGTCCTGTGCCCATGCGAAAGATTATGACCAACTAGTGTCTTTGGAAGCAATTTATTGGGTCTTTGGGGTTGGACTGGGCATGTGTGTGAAAACACATCTTCCTCTGAGCCCAAACCCCATTCATTTAATCACTCCTCTTTTTTTTTAGCTCTGATAATCTGCTTTGCAGTGTTGAGTGATGTAGGTGTATTTGGCTGTTCTTTGGATGCTCTCTCTTTCACTAGTTTGCTCTTTCATTTGATGGTAAATTGTTGTGTCCTCTTATCCATTGTAAAGTTAGCTTGATTGCATAGGTTTTGAGGAAAGTGCGTATTTTCAGAAGTATTGATTTTGCGGTTGTGAGAGGCCACAATGTAGCATTGATTTGTTTAATTCTATTGTTTGGGCTCTATTTGTAAACCATTTGTCTATTTGGATGTTACTTTTCGAATATTCTGTACTTTTCAGCCATCTCGATAACTGCTTAAGATTTGGTGTCTCAATATTAGTATGTATTTCGCATGCTGCTGTTTGGTTAGATCTTAGTCGATACACAACACACCCCCCCCCCCCCCCCCCATTAAATCAACTGCCTGGCTTCGTACATTTCCTTGAGTCCTGTAATATCTTTCTGAAAATGGTATGCTTCACATCACGACCAGTCATACATATACATCCATGAGGATCCAACTTCTAGGTCAACCACATGGGGAGCATTGAAAGAAGTAGGATAAAGACTAGAAGAAGACACCTGCTCGAGGGAGAGTAGGGGCTGGGTTAGTGTAACATGACATGTTTTACATTTTGCTCTAAGAGGAATGCCCTGCTTCCTCTGAAGAGCCCATTTATAATGCTGGAGGTTTGGTCACACCTGGCTCTGTTAAAAACAGTGAGGGTCAGGACAACAAAAGCAGAAGTACTTTCATGAAGGGCCCATTCAGACACACTTAGGTAGGAGAAGCCATATTTCAGAGGTATCCAGAAATAGATGAGGCAGCATCTGGGCAGTCACTATCTTTAAACTGGAGAGGCCTTGTCATGCACATCACTGTTTTTTTTGTCTTAACTTTTGTAGTTTCTAGAGGCATAGGCATTAGTGGTCAGTGCTAAAACAGAAAAACAGGACATTTCTCTAAGTTTGGTAGGATGCAAGCCCTGTGCATGATTCGGTTAATGATTAAAGTTTTGTCAATTGAAAGGAATTTTAAAAGGATGTTAGCAGTAGTCTGTGTATGAATGCTGGTAGTTAACATCTCTTACAGTGCTAACATTTTGACCGTTTAAATTATATCATTTCTGGCACTGGAGATGTCAGTAATTCTACTGTGCAGGTTTTTCGCAAATGTGGCCCTTTATGCAAATAGTTAATGACCTCTGGTAAAAATATTCCAAAATGGAAGATAAAAAGTGTACAATGTAAGGTAATGTTTGATTATCAACAAGAATTTTGTGGGAGCTTAAGCTATCAATAGCTTAAAGCAGGCCTTCACAATATCAGACTTGCCAACCCTTTCGATTTTGTCAGAATTATGCTGATTTTTTACCTTTAACTCCGACCTTCCAACAAATACCTTAAATTTCCGATTTTTCTAACTTTATAATTTTTTTCACCCGTTATAAAAATTCGAAAGTCACCACAAAAAAAATACGTCAGAAATATCCTATTTGTTTTTACCAAGTGTCTACAAGTCAGGTGACCAGACGAATAAGGGAATAAGTTCTTGAGATATTGGCCCTGCACTATATATTTGACCAAATATTTGTACGACAGCTTTGTCATATGACCGCTAAGTGTCTATCAGAGTTTACGGTACTTCATTTCAACAAATTCAAGATAGTCTGGATATTTACATGAAAAAAGAAACCAATTCTACAAAAGAAATACCTAGAGCCATTGCTGGTATATCTATAATGAACGATTGGTTAAAAGTGACAATGTTTTTTATAAAGCGTGACATGCCCGCCGGATGAATATCTCCCACGCTATTTGTCTGGTTGCCTGACGTAGAAACACTGACTTGTTTTTATCTAAGTCAACCGGGATCTTAATCGTTCTTCAATCATCAATTGATCCGATCGTTATTCATCCTTTTACAAGGCTAAAAAATAATTCAGATTTTGTTGTTGTTAAAGCTTTACTTAGTTAAATCATCAAATCTATTGAAAGTGGTGGGTACAACAATGATATTAATAAAAATATAAACATATTTAAACTCTCCCCCCCCCCCCCCCCCAAAAAAAAAAAAAAAATATTTAAACCCCCCCCCCCCCCCCCCCACATAAAAAAACCAACAACATACAACTGCAGCTAAAAGTAAAAGCAATCCATGTCTAATTAAAAGTTTATTTGCTAAGGAATCTGATCGTTTTAATGCCAAAGAAATGTTTCCAGACTGGCAGATTGCTAGTTACTCTTTCTAACTTGCTTGTAACTAAAATCAATTGCAATGCTGATGCTAACCTTCATTTGTCCAAAGAGCTGTTGGACTAGTGCAAAAAGGCCACTAGGGATATGCTGGAAAACTGAACTCTTAGCAGCCTGTGTACATAATATGTTATTAATAAAATGGATCTTCTCTCCTGTACTGTGTATAATAATATAAACATTTCCAGTTATGTTTTTCTCATGTTTTGTGGACTCTTCAAAGACTATGGAGGTAACTTTATATTTCTTTATTTACTAAAAAAGGCTTTTGCATTAGTTTATAGATCTTAAAGCAATGCCCCACCCCCGGGGCGTGGTCCCTGGAGGTCAGCGACCCTTCTTACCCCTGCATGAAACCTTCTTACAGATATTTTTTGTTGGCAGGTCTGCAACGTATGTTCCAATTTGCGGCCCGCCAAGTAACGAAATATTCTTTGTTGTCATTATTATTATTTTCTTACTAGAGGCCCACCCCCCTCCCCCCATTTACCTTTCGGCCCACACAAGTTTTTTCATGAAGTATTGCGGCCCGCCTCACATTTTGAGTTTTGCAGGCCTGGCTCAAAGAGTTACCTGAAGAGTATAAAACTTTACCATGATGTGTCATGAGTCTTTTCTTTTTGTCACCCCTCATCTCTAAATTTGCCAGTGTTTGTGTAATTAAGTTATTTAACTTTTTTCTGTACTTTTCTGTGTTTCTCTTGCATATCTTTTGACAAGTGTTAACATTTGAAATTTTGTTTAACCAACCTCCCCTCCCACAAAATACCATTTTCATTGTGATCAGGGGTGGCCAGCCCATCAGATGTTTAAAAAATGAACTTGTTTCTTCATTAAATTTGTGCTTTTCTGTGACGGTGCGTGTCGGTAGGGCATGCTTGCCCTATTTTGGTTTGATTTTTTTTTGTATAAATCAATTCAAAGTAGTAATCACAAATCTTAAATGCAAATGATGAAACTTTGTTATTTAGTATCTTCTATATGTGTAAACACAACCATGTCAAGGGGCACGTATATTTCCATTAACACTTCTTCATTTGCTCTCCAATTAAGTGTAGAATGATGCAAAACTAAATTCCGGAATGCATAAAAATGCATCCGTGCATTTTTGAGTTTAGCCCCCTCCCCTGTCTTTTTGCTTGGGTGCCTGCTGTCACATCCCACATTTCTTCTTCCTCACACCACCCCCAGAAATAGTGACCTACGCCTTTTTATCTATAACAACATATAATAATTCTCTAGCTATATATGGTTGTATGGCTGTAGCACTTTGTTCAATAGGCGTGCAAAATAAAATTCACAGATGTTAGCACTAATTGGGATTCTTATAAAGTGCACAACTTGAAGTCATGTTTTTTCAAGTTACTTCAGTAGAACCGCCACCAATGTTTGAGGGGGAGGGATATTTCATATATATTTATGCATGTATAAAAGAGTTAATTCTCGTTTAAAATCTATACAAATTGTGTGTGTGTGGCTGCACATGTAGAAGTATTATCATTTACGAATTATTTACATTGAGAATAAATACATAATTATGGTTTAATTGGTTTTATTTGATAGGAGTAGTGGCAAGGAGCTCACACGTGATCAAAATTGCCTTTGCAGCCATTTATTAGCTAGCCCACCCATGCAGGACTAGATAATCACATGTAGTCGTTGTGGTCTTATCTAACCCATAATTGTTATATATCATATTATAATAATATATAAAATTTTGTATTTTTGGGGTTCAAGAAATCTTATTCAACTCTGATTAATAATAATGTGTGGAATTATTAAACTTAAACATTCAATTTTATTAGGCTATAATTCTTGAAATTTTACATAAATAAGTACATTATATTATTGTTCGTGAATTACACGTTTAAAAAAAACCCTCTAATTTTGGACCAACGGCTAACATAACTTCATATTCTTAAATCTCAATGCCTCAGAAAAGTATAAAGGTCGAGACAGACAATTCCTTGCGACTATTTCAGTTTTCACCCAACAGTCGTTTTCTGACTCACACTGGTAACGCATCAGTGAAGTTGTGACGTGAATTCTATCCCATTTATTCCTGTTGACTCTATCCGTCCGTCGGCTTGATTTAAGGCAAGCACATGGCCAGGTAGTATGTCGGGAGTGTTTGCTCACAAATACAGCAAGTCGGCTCAAATCCAACGGCAAACTTTACCTGCACTGGATACCTGTAAGTTTCTCAGAACCGTTGACCAACTTTAGATGACGTCATCGCGGCAGTCCATTCATGTCCAACAAATGAGACACTAATGTGCTGTGCGTTTCAGAGTTAAATTTTTGCCTAAAAATGCGTATTTTTCAATCTTTTTTTGTTGATGTTATTGTGAATATTATATTGAACTTACCTCAAATATCAGCGATGTAAGATCAACAGATAAACTTCAGTAAGCTACATGGGGGCTTATTTGATTGTTCGTGTTGTTGTTTTTTGGTTGAAAAACTAAACTTCTATTTCACTAGATGATATGGCCCGATGTTACTTGGGTAATAATGAAAGGCATACTGCGCTACTTTCTCCCTAAATCGGGTTTTGATATTTAATTTTGTATCCTAGAAATTAAAGTACTAATTTTCCAAGCCCTTTAATCATATATATTTAGTAGAAAAATCAAACTTTTCTATGTATAGACATTTACGTTCCTAGTATCATTGGGTTTTGAGAAGTGTTCATTTTCTATATAATATAAGCCTAACACGCTTCATATGATGAATACAAAGAAAACATATTTTAAAAAAATTGTAAAACCATAAATGTCCTTAAATTTCAGAAATGATAATTTACTTATAGAAATATCTGTAAAATTGATCCATTTGATATATTATCTTCAGTAAAAAAAAAAAAAAAAATGTTCCTAACCTTTTGCCTCGCTCCTGAGCTATAACGTTCAGAAAATCGTAAAACACAAAACTCTTATATCTTAAGAACAATCTCTGATCCGATGTTCACGTTATTTTAAAAAAAAAAAATGTATGTATTTTAGTGTTGTTGTTTTTTATTATCTACACCAAATTTCAAACCCGTAACATAATCTGAATTTAAGATAACCATGTTAATATGTACCATAGATCCCACATTTTTCCTCGCCTTTGAATAGTAAAAAACAGAAAATGTTAAAATACATAGATAACAATTTTATTTTAAAGCAACTATGTACCAGTATTGAACTGACCATTACAACATACTTTCATACCTGTAATTGTACAGCTATTTATGTTTATAAAAAACAAAACAAAACAACAAAAAAACAAAAAAAACGATAGAAGTGAAACTCATTTTTTTAAAGAGTAAATATGACGTTCGTTTTAGCCGTGGTCCAGTTTGCTGGAGGTGTTTTGAAAGTGTAAACAATGTCTGCCTGTCAAACCATCATTGTTGACTTCTTTTTTGTGGACATGGCTTGACCATTATGTTTGTACGATCTCAAGCCCGTTGAAGAAATCAAATTTTATGCAGGGATCAGAAACGCAGTCGAGTTCATGATTACATATGAAGGCGCCGGTGCACACTGCTTGCATTACCACTTGAATACCGCTGCTACTTCGGTTGATTTCGCTAACAAATTTAGTAATTTATTTCTTGCACAAGCTAGTCTTCAAGTGAGAATTGGGGAGTGATTTTATAACAAACATCTGCCCAAATATGCGTTCTTGAAAGGAGCAACAACAACAAAAAAAAAAAGAGATGAGTTTATTTTTGTGCGCGATATTTTCACACTGTGGCCCTCTTTTTATGCTACTGAGGTTGAATGTTGAACTTTCTTCAAAAATCGCACGCACTGACTGATACAGCCGCCGATTGTTGTAAGTGTGCGCTGTTACTGTTAGATATTGCCTCTCCGTTGTTCTTATGCGTATGACCCAGCCAATTTTGTACTGTGAGGATTTAAAATCCTCCCCCCTCCCCCTTTTTCGAATCCCACCCACCCAACCCCCACTATTCTCTCACAGTTAACCATGCAAGGATTATCCGCCTGGTCTCTTCTGCTCGATTGATTTATTTTTTTTCTTATGCAGAGCATGAAAATAAAGGGAACGCTTTAAAAAGACGGTGTAATTTGTGACGGCACATGATGTATCAGCAGGGAGTCCTCCATCAGAACAGACGGCTCACGTGAAGTCGTAGACCTGCGAGCCGTGGGCCGAGATACTGTAAACACTTTCATTTGCCGTCAGCGCTTTCTCTTCTCGTCCCGAACTCCCGTGGGTGGGTCTTGTTAGCTTATGTTGTCCGCTGTGAACTTTTCTTAATCACATGTTTCTGACAACTAGTTTTTGGAGTGGTGTGGCAGAGTCCTTGCGAATCTGTATGGAAATGACTCAGAAGAGCGACCAAAACCACAGTAGTTAGGACCGAATCTTCTGCTACTCCACAGGAGCTGAACATCCCCCCCCCCCAGCCTCTCCGTTATTCATGTTTTGTGTGTGTGTTTTTTTAAAATAAATTTTTGTAAGGGGTCTGCTCATCTTTGGAAAAATGGAAAATGTTAAATTTGCAAAGCTACTTCTGATTTGAATGGGGTGCATGGTAGTAAAATGGGACCATGCTTGTTTTAACCAGTGGTTACCAAATTGGTAATGGGGGTTTTCCTAACGTTATGCTTTAGGGATTGATAGAGCGGCAGCGGCAGTTTTAGAATTTCTGGGAAACATTGCTAACCTTTCACTTTCTTCAAAACTAGCTTTAAGTTTCTTACCAGCCCCCCCCCCCCCCCCAAGAGACGCGCACGAGAAGACAGACCAGAGTGGCACTTTTGGGTTTTCCAATCTATAGATCTAATATAAATGTTGCGATTTTCCCAGCAATGAGCGAAAAGATCCTTCTTAGTCAGGGAGCAGATTTGTTCAAATGTAACATCCCCAAGAACTAGTGCATTGCAACCATGACGATTTATAACAATCCTTGTATTGAATAATATATTTTTTTAATGATTTTTTTTTTTCAAAGTTACTTTTGATTCACACGTTTGAAATGTACCATGTTATGTTGCCATTTTTTGTAAAGCGTTAAACACCGCCTAATCTGTTTGTCCAAATCAGAATTCAGAAATTAAACACATGGATTTCTGAATGAAATAAGAACTTAAAATTTAAAAGATGATCACGAGTCTCTCATTCCACCACCCCTCCTGTCTCTCTTCTCACCCACGCCCCCCCTTTCTGGAGAAAAAAAGAAGGAAGAAGAGGACAAAAACCCACCTTCTAGTTTCCACCCCATAATTTAAATCCATCATTTCGAACTGTCTTCCTCTCGTGTCAAGCATTAAACCCTGATGATGCTTGTTGTTTGCGCGCATGCGACTCGTGTCTTCTAATTACCGAGTGCATTTTGAGACGTGGAATTTGATGTGGCTGTAATCTACTTGTCGTGCCAAATTATCTGCCAGGCACAGAAAAATCACGTGTCATCAGTCCTTTCCCGCCCATTGCGTTCATTTTTCAAATAGCGCGCTGCCGTGTCTGAATAATCAGTTGCGTCCCAAATAGTGTTGAACCGCAGGCGTTTGAAAACACGTGTGCTTGTATGATATTGTATGAGATATGCCGAGATTACCAGAGTTGTTCTATTGTAGAAATATATAATGGGGGTACTAAAAATTGTTAATGTTTACTGTTACTGGATAAAGGTTTTGTGTTAAAAACACTTCACCCTTAACCCCCACAGCGGCATCGCTTAAAGCACAAGTTATTTTTCATTCTTTTCCATTTACCCCCGCCCCCAAACACACACCTTTGTTTTCTCCTCCCCACACACACACCTTTTTTTTCCCCTTCATCTCGTCCAATTCGTTGATGTAATTTGTATGGGGAAAGGGGCCTTTTCCTCTCCGGTTAATTTTCCAAGCCATGTAGATCTCCACAGAGCCAGCAACGCGTTGATTTCATGGGCTGTTTGGCCCAGTGGGGCAACGAGCAGTAAGATGGACGAAGGGGAGGCCGTGGTGGTGGTGGCGTGTGGTTGGTAGTATCCTTGATGATGCTTTGGAAGGAACGAATGTTCAGGGGGGGGGGCGGCTTCATTCACGGCAACAGCCACTTCCAGGCAAGTGACGGGCGCAGCTTCGATGTTTGGTTTAAACGGTCCGGTTACACTGCAGATTTAGTTATTGCACTGACAGACGTCTGGTGCGTGTGTGATAGGAAACGTGGGACCAGGCCAGCACCCCTTCCGCCCTCACCTACAACTTTTATTTACTGCCAGGTATCTAGGAGCTATTAATGCTGTGTTTCTAGAAAGTCTGATCCAACACGTCTCTGGCCTCCCATCAATGGGCTGAGNATATATATATATATATATATATATATATATATATATATATATATATATATATATATATATATATATATATATATATATATATATATATATATATATATATATATATATATAATTTCGTGACTCGAAATTGCAAAAAATGAAAAATATTGTACTCAATGGGGGCTTTAGCAATACGTTCTTGAGTGTTGCACTTGTCGGAAATGTGCTCCGTCGGGTTGATAAAGTCGAGCTAACAGAACGGTTACTGTAGGAACCCCCCCCCCCCCCCCACGGGTCAAAGGTTACGCGAATGTTGTCTAAGGTAATGGCGTCGAGTGAGCAGTGAGGGTTCTACATCCACGTCTCCGCTCACCACTCGGAGCAGTTACTGTCTAATCGAGTGCTGATGGAAGCAAGGGCTACAACTCTGTTATCACATATTTAGAGTTACCGACGGAGAGAAACTGGAGCTTGTGTGATTTACTGGTATATACACACTTTACCTGGACAGGCCGTAGGTTTGAACAGAATCATAAACGGAAGTATTTTTTTATACATGTGAAGTTCGAGTTTTGAATAGACATGTTATTATAAAGTATTGTACACGGAGTATAAGAATAAATTATGATAATTAATTACCGTTGCCATCGGCCAGGATTATTAACACGCCACTTCTGCTCTAGCACCCGCGGAGTTGTCAGGTGTATCCAATTATTATGGACTTGTGTTCGTCCGCCAACCAAAATGACTCAATATTCTTCGTGTTGTGTATAGTTTGTAGTTTAAATATTACAGTTTGCTTCAATAAGTTTTATCTTCGAATGGTCCATGCAATAAATGCGATGATGTGAATATGTTGTTCTGTTCCACGCCGAGTTGTAGGATGAGTAGGCGGGGTTTTTGTTTTGTTTTGGTAGGGGGGGGGTGGGGGAAATCACGTGCTTAGATGTGTTTTGGCTGTAATCCGGCACGTCAAAGTCACTATATAGGCTGCTATATAGATGATATACAGTGTGATGCAATGGGGACGTCGTATGTATATTTCATCACTGCGTCTTTAATACTTTAAAAGCTACCTTGCGGTCGACGTGTGTTCGAATCGTATTGAAACGCTGATGGAAGGGACATCAATATTAGCAAGATTAACTCGCCTTTAGTTTGTCCACACAATTTGAACCGAGGCAGCTCTCTCTCCACCCCTGTAACTTAGCCCCCCCCCCCTCCCCCACTATATATAAATCAATATTTTAATGACGATGGCTTTGTGTGTTGCGGCCATTAGGCTCTCACCATCTGTGGGTTTGACCATCCACGGAGACCTCCGTTCAAATAATGACCACCGCATCCTTAAGTTTTGCCGATACGTCTTACAATGTACCAGCCCATTAGCCCCCAACTGTATCAACATTGCGACCGACAAAAGCGATGGCGGTTTTGTAGTGTAGCAATTACCCCACACATCATTACTCCATCCGTTCCCCTAAACCTGACGTTGTCATTGTGTTTGGCGGGTCTGTCTCTGATCAAAGAGGACGTGCTAGACCCTAGAAGCAACAGTTTGAATGAATGAAGAGCTCACCCCTCCCCTGTCCCGGGATTCTCAAACTTTTAGAATTTTGCTCAAATTAAATAGTCATGTGAAAATTATGGTACCTTTATGTGAATGTTTTGTCATTCGGGCCTGATATCTATACAATATTATCTTTTTGAAATATTTACATCTATGTTTACCAATTGGAAAATTGTATACGCGCCGCTACAGGCAGGCCCATGAACCGCTGATTGAGAATCGCTGCCCCGGTCTATAATCCGCTGGAGAGCGACTAAAGCCAATACGACCGAAGCCAATACGGTCAAACAGTGGCAAAGCTCGGCCACCGACCAAATCTAAACCAAAACATAGAAGAGCCGTGCGCGACAGGGTGGCGACGCGCTACAATGCTCTCTGGTGGCTATAAGGAGCATAGCTTGGGGCCAACTCAATTTTCGGTCTCCCAATTAGCAAGATCGTCATATTCTTCTTCTTTTTTTTTTTTTTTTTTTGGTGTGGCTTTTGTCATAACCTGTACAGAACAGAAGGAAAAGGAAGTGTTTTAAGTATTTTAAGGTTTTTTGTGCGTTCCGCCTATAACTTGGTGTTGACTAAAGACTAAAGCAGCCATTCACTGACTTGTTTTAATGGCCCATAGATTTTGACGGCGTTGCTTTATCACTTACCTGTAGTTGGGATGGAGGTCTGAGCTTGAAGCTGTCGGGCTGCATTGTTTCTAGGATGATGTTTCTTTTATTGAAAGAGGCGTACTTTTCCAGGCTTGGCTGGCCAGCTATTCTCGTTTAGAGCTAATGGATGTAACCGCTAATTGTGTACAACCGTTGTTGTCTGTGTGGCCTTTTTCATTGTGTGGGGGGGGGGGCAGTGTAGTAGGAAGGGGTGTGGGGGAGGGGGGCACCCACCCCCCCGGGCGGCACCTTTTCTGGGGGGGGGGGTTAAATTATAGTATTGTTATATTCAACATTGTATAGTATTTATAACAGTGCACACTATGATAACGTAACCATGTTAAAGACTTTTCATTCCGCATGAAATATAAACATTCATTATATTTAATAACCATTTGAATTTTATGTGTTTAATATTAATTTTTTTTTTAAGTTTGCAAAAGTAAATGCTTTTGATTAATTTTAAGAAATTGTGTTAATGAAAATTTCTCATAGTGTCTGGTGAAAATTTTTAAGGAAATAATGAGTTTGTTAAACACTCAGTAGTAAAAAAAAAAAAAAAAAAAAAAAAAAAAAAAAAAAAAAAAAAAAAAAAAAAAAAAAAAAAAAAAAAAAAAAAAAAAAAAAAAAAAAAAGAAAAAAAAAAAATTTAGAAAAGTCATACCACCATTAAGTCATAAGAAAAGATACAAAAATAAAGCAAGTATTATCTGACACAGAATAAGTGTGACTGAGAGTCATCAACCACCTAACAATACTCTTGCCTGTACCTTTAAGAGTGGTGGAACAATCACTTATAGAGAAGTAAAGCCGATTCAAGGGGATTCTCATGTTAATGGCTGCTTGCCCCTCTCCCTCCATTCATGCTAATAACTGATACTAATTTGGACACAGCTTATGTTTCCCTACCTTTGGCTTGTCATCATATTTTAGATACCCCCCCCCCCTCCCCTGTGGGGGGTTATCATTTATATCCACTGAAGTTGACCTCTGCAGCAGCCATATTCAGACCTGTTTACTCTCACAATTTTGGTGTACAATGTACGATTTTGAGGTGTATATATACTGTATGTTTATTTTTTTCTATAAATATAACGTATTGAACGATTTTGTGATGATATTGTACGATTTTATGAGTTTGAGGGTATAAAGGTCTGCATATACTTTTGAAACCTAATTTAAATCAAATTGTATTTAGGTGTTTTGTGAGTGAGAACTGATTTATAAACGTGTATCCTTAAAGAACCTGCAGTCTTCAACACAGTCCTAACTGAAAATTCCCAGTGTGGATGAACACAGAATAAAGTCTTACGGAGTGCGCTCTTTTGAAGGGATAGCGCCAAAATTATGGAACAGTTTGCCTCAATCTTTGAGGGAATTGAAAATGATAAAAAAATCATTTAAGAAACATTTTAAAACTGTTTAAATAGATTTAAGAAAACCAGAGCGCAGTGAGCATGCTAAAGTAGCATAGATACCAGCACTATATAAATATCCAATCATATCAAAGCTTATATAATATTCACTAAAGAGTACACCACAACCCCTGATAATAAGGATTCTCAATAGTTTAAAAGGTGTTAAATAAATTCAAATAATCGTTTTCAGGAAATAAGATGCTAGAAGTACAATAAGTTTACTTTTTCTCTGTCAGTGGATTTGAATGCTTTTCTCATCTAGGTTAATACTTATACGTGGATACTTATACTTATATACTTATATGGGGTGTGGATGTATATATATTATATAAATTCAACTAATTTGCTTACATAATATGCATTTAATTATTTTCTTTACCCATGTCATGACCCCTTCCATTTTCATTGAAGTGCCAGCTCTAAAACTTGGAAGGGGGAGGCACATCTCACCTACTAAGAACCTCTACCTTATTTTAGCCATAAAACAATTGGGGATTTATGAACAGAGCAGCCCCCTTAAATGTGAAACTGGGTTATTGTCATGTTGCATTTGTCACCAATAGCGGTTCATGTTTGCCTTTAAGGGCTGTCAACTACTGCTCTCATTTCCTCCCACCTCAACCCCCCACAGACCAGTTACAAGTACCACAGACATATCTACACCCACATTACTGTCTGGCTGAAGGAAACTACAAGACACCGTTTCCCTTTTAAGCTCGCTGATAAGATAAAACTGTAATTGACTTTTTATACAGCCATTAAAAGAACATTTAGCTGTTACCGCTCTCAGACAGATGTAACTTACAGTTTGTTATAATTAGCTTCTTAATGTGTTTGCTTACCTAGTAAGAGTACCGATTTGCTTGTATAGTAAAATTTACATTCACATATAAACAGACCGGAGTTCAAGCCTTTGGTGATAAGATGGCCTTTCATGTGGAGGAAATACACACAAAAAACCCTGAAGGATTATTTAATAGATAAATGAAAAAGTTTCTTAACATTCCAAAGAGAATTTTTAACCCAACCAAATGAAAAAGTTTTTTAACATTCCAAAAAGAATTTTTAACCCAACCCACCCCACCCCCACCCACCCCCCCCCCCCCCTCTTTTTAATTTTTTTTTATCAAGTCCATTTAAAATGTATACCCCCTTAGTACAAAATATGTTAATGGGGTGATTTTTTTATGGCTCACTTCATGACACAAAGGGACTCGTGGACCAATATTCCCCCCTGGAGAGCTGGAACATTTGTTTGTGCTAGTCAGTAAATATTTTTGTTTGACATGAATCTGATAATAAGAGATTTAATCATTATCTCATGTTGGTCTCATGAAAACATCTGATAATACTACATTCATGTTAATAATTCAACTTTGAATATTTGTCGAAGCGGGGCACACATTCAGTAATATGAATGAAATAGTTTGTGTGTGAAACATCTGTGTTGCGAAGTGGCGTTTATCCTGTTAATCCAAGGCTACAACTAGTCATAGACATACAGGAAAAAAAAGTATTGTCACTTTTTAGAACCACTTGTCTTGTGATTTTTATCTATAAGTAAGTGAAATCAAAACAATTTACAGTAGAGGTTCCAAAGCATTTGGCTCCTATATATCTGGATGCTGCCTTTGTTATAAAAGTATACTTGTGTGCATGAAACCCAGTTGATGAGTTTGGCCTTTTTTGTCTATTCATTGGAGCTCACGCTTGATATCACTGACTTCAAACATTTTTTGTTTCTTTTTAAATTTATATTTATGCATCTGTATTAAATAGAATGCTGTTGGGAAATAAATCCACTAAATGTGTTTGATAATAAAAGAATGTAACACCAACAGGTTGTAGAAATTGTGTTTTGGGATTGTAATTTACGGAACAGTTTGTATCTTACATCATTTGAATTTTACACATTTTTTAAAATTAGTTACAAAACAAATATTTGCAATATTCCTCTATCAACAGCCAGATTTCAGATAGTGACACCTGCTAGGTCACATGCCGCTTATGTTGACCTGAAGCTCTGCCATACTTGACCTAACAACAGTCATCATTGGGAACTTGAGGATTACCATCTAGTAGCCCATAGGTAGGTCAGCTCTTTCCTTCTTAAGTTAAAACATTACATACCTTCCTAGGTAACGTATAGTTTAAACAACTTGTAACCCAGCATCTAGTTCAGTAGTTCTCAACTTGCAATATGCCAATGGTCGCTTGGGAACTTCAAATATTATTTTGAAAATGTGCATTTTTATTTAGTTTCTCCTTTCATTTTAAAATTTATATTTTATTAACAGTGATCAAGGTCTGTTTTTAAAGCTATCTAAATTAACAGTTTGTGTTGAAAATAGAATATATTTTCTTTTGCTATCTTATGTGCACTGAACTATTTATCAAACCATTTATATTATTTACAGATGGACGGAGGTGAAAGTGTTAGGTCCGGCCGGAGTGAGAGGTCTGAGCGGTCACACAGGAGTCATGGAAGTCATCATGGGAATGGTGGACATCGCCATCATAACAGACCACAGGTGATTACTGGCCAGTAACAACAAAAACACTATGCATATAATATTAGCTGCTCACAACTAAACAAAGTTGTTTTTGCTTATTTTTATTTAATTTATTTTGCGTTCTCTCTCTCTTTTTCCAGATACCCTCTCGTCCTGGAAGCAACAGAGCAATGTCAAGAGGTCAAGGCCATGACACAGACAGAGATGATAGGTCGGTTACCATTAAAACTCCAGGTCAAGAGCATGACATTGAAAGAGGAGATGAGAGAATTGAGGTTCAGGTAAGATACACACCACTGAGCAAGACAATGAATTAAGTTATGTTTCTTGGAGTTGGTGGGTGAAGAAAAGATGTGACCCTCAAGCAGGCCAGAGAAATAAATCTTGATTAAAATAATGCAGTCCCTGCCTTAATTCCTATTTATGTGACTGTCATTGAAAGTAGTGATGGGGGAATAAATTAGATCACAAGGCTTGTCTATTTGTTCAACTTTATTATGTCGTCAGCATGAAAGGTTGCACAAAAAAATATCTTGTGAAAAGCGTCTACTTTTGTACTAATCTATACCTAGAAATAGCTACCTTGGTTACATCTGGTTAAGGACCAGATCTTGTGGGAAAGTATAAAACAGACCCCTACCAAAGCTACTAAGCATTGTTAGTGTATACTGTTAGCATTAAAAAAACAAACATTTTTCAGTAAAAGGATTACATAAAGAAATTATTATTTATTCATGAATAAGCATAAGTAAAGGAGATTCTTATATAACTGTTACTTGTGGGAAAACTGAAAATCATAACATTTCTTTGGTGCTAATGTTAAAGGCAACTTTAAATTAAGATGAAAGCATGTGGCAGAAATTGTAATGGGTCTTTATGGTGGTTTAATAAAACAGCTGAAAGACCAGAGAGGCAAAGTTTTTCTGTATTTCTTACCAGTGTAATACTATTTTACTTTAATGTTTATATTACAGGTTATACCACAAGATGACAACTGGGGTGATAACACTACAGCCATCACTGGCAACACTAGTGAGACAGGCTTCTCTATGGAGGACCTGGACAAGTTTGTTGTCAAGGATACAGACAGACAGGTATAAGAAAAGATTATTTGGCTGGCTTAGGAAGCAAAATATCTGAAAAATAATTTCTCAAATGACTGTCTTAATCAATACTATGTGGAAAAAGTTGGAATAATTATTTTGAATATATTTTTTCATCTCAAACTGTTGTTATATCTCATTCACGTATAGAAATGACATTTATTTTATTTTATTGGGAAAGTTGAAATTAACTTTTGCCTTATTCTGTCCATACCACAGGCTGGGGTAAATTGTGCAAGATATGTTGGTACAGCCCTGACTGTTGGTCTCAGTGCAATAGCCTTCCTGTCTCCTATAGCCATGATACTGCTGCCCAAGCTGGACATTGTCCAGCTGAGTTCAGGGGAGTATAAGCCAGAGTGTAAGCCTGAGTGCGAGGGCCTGTTGATCAGCTTTGCTTTCAAGCTCTTGGTCCTACTTGTTGGAGCTGTTGCTCTTTTCTTTAGAAAAGTAAGTCATCTGTCTGTCCAAATTTTCAGGGACCTTTTTTTTTTTTTTTCTTTGTTTCAAAGCTGAATGGGAAAAAAATAATATCGTATTTGTGAAAGCTAATTTCCTACATTGATTCCACTGATATTTTATCAATAACTTAAATTAATAAACAACACCTCAACCTCTTCAAAGAATGTAAAGTGTTCTGTTAACGGAATGATAATGCATGGGGTGATAAAAGAGGAAGGGCTGGAAATGTATCCTTGCATGTAAAATGTAAATGTACTTACATTGTCTGGTTTTAAGTTTCCTTACCTTCAAAAGTAAAGGGAAAGTTCTCTCTGAAGGGAAAATATTTTTTTTATTTGATTGGCAAACGCAGTTAAAATATTGTTTTCACTGTTCACCCTTGAATATTTATTTCTTTTCAGCCCAGAGCGACAATGCCAAGAGTATTTGTTTTTAGAGCAATAGTTCTCTTTCTTGTCTTTGTTCTTACATTTGCTTTCTGGCTTTTCTACGGAGTTAGGATATTCAAGGAGAAACAAGGAACTTATGAGGTACTAAAGTGTTTTATGTTCAGTGTTGTCACCCCATGATTAGCAGATTAATAATTAAGCTTGCATTTAAAATACCCTGTAGTTAGTTAGGAATATATTTTCAAGTTAAGCAGTTGTAATTTTATATTAAGACCCCCAAAAAATATTCATTGCCCTGTAGTTTTTTATTTTTTTTATTTTTTTTTTTTTTTTAACTTAAAAAAAAAAAAAAATCTGTGTCCACAGGGCATTGTTCAGTTTGCCTTGAGTCTGGTGGACAGTCTACTATTTGTCCACTACATAGCCATCATTCTGTTAGAGATCAGACATCTGCAGCCACAGTTTGCTATACGAGTGGTGAGATCACCTGACGGGGAAGCACGTGTGTACAGTGTTGGGGTACTGAGCATACAGAGGGCAGCTGTACATATACTGGAGCAATATTATAAAGATTTTGATGTAAGCATATTCAAAGGACGGTGGATTGTAATAGACATTCATCAGAGAAAACATTTCCGTTGCAAATTCCTTGTGCTCTGCCAGCCTTGCACATATATTCACATACACACATAATTTGTTTGAAATTAATCTTAAACTTCAACATTGACTTTTAGCAAAATAAAGTAAGCCAAATGATGCAAATTGAAATAGTGAAATTAAGTGGAATTCAAATATTGAAGCCTATATGCATTGAGCATAAATGAAAGACATTTGTTTAAAGCGTTGTTATTCTTGGTTTATTAATTACTATTATAATGATACATGGCAGTGCTTCCTGTATTAAAAAAGAATTGTATTTTTCTGGATGTTACCATGCACCAATATTTATGAATATTTTAGAGGTTTTTTTTTAATCCTTAGATAATCCTTAATATTATCTATCTAACTTAATAAACTACATTTTCTCTTCTTTTCTCATGGCTCAAAATTCTTAAACTCATTTCCTGTAGCTATGTCTGTAACAGCACCCAATGTTTTCCTACATTCCAGACTTATAACCCTTACTTAGAGAATGTCACCAAGAAGCATAGCAAACACTCAAGCACTGCATTTAAAGTGTATGACATCGATGGCAATGCCCAGAACCAGCCTGGTCAGCAGGGCAGAAACAGGGCAGTCTTCCCACAAGCTGCACGTCGGCGAGAGGCGGGTCACAACGACAGGTTCTACGATGAGCAAGAGTACGAGAGGCGTGTACGTAAGCGCCGGGCAAGATTGCTCGTGGCGACAGAGGAGGCCTTTACTCATATTAAACGTTTGCATGATGAACAGAGTACGTGTCATTGTTGTGGTTGTTTTAGCCTAATGTCCAACTGATTGAACAAATTTTTAATATTGTTTTATTAACAGAAGTGCTTTAGGGTCAAAGAAATACAATACAGTCACATAAAATATGAAATGATTCAGTTTTAGAAATTTGCTTTATGTGCTGCTGCTGATGCTTTGAAAAAAAAAAAATTCAATTTTAGAAGAAGATAAGACAAATTTGGGCATTAAAATATACAAAGGGATTTGATAATTCTCTTTCTTACAATTTTTAAATAGCATTACAATTAGCATTTATGGTATATTTTTGTTTAGTATCAAGTTTAAATAGTTTAATTCTTTCTAAATTCTATGAGTATAATTATTTTAATGAAAAAAACCTGCTGACTTTATTACGGTTTATCTTGTTGTTTTTTTTAACAACACATTTTCTTTTTTACTCTTGGCAGGTCCAGCCATTCCTATGGACCCTAATGAAGCAGCTGCTGCAGTATTTCCATCTTTGGCTCGTGCCCTTCAAAAATATCTGCGGATCACTCGCCAGCAGCCTCGCTACACTATGGAGGCAGTACTTGGCCACTTAGCCTGCTGTATCTCCCATGACATGAGCCCACGTGCGTTTGTCTCCCAATACTTGACACAGGGGGCAGTGGTGTGCGGCAGCGAGCAGGAAGTGAAGGGAACTGAACGGTGGGTGCTGGTCTGTGAGCAGCTCTTGACGAGAGAGCTGGACAACAAGATGGTGTTTCAGCTGAAGAAAGGACCTGTGTCTTTACTTTGCACTGTCATGAAAATACCCCACTTTAGTCTTACAGAGGAGATGCTCCACCCAAAGTCCAACAAGTTTGTGCTGAGATTAAACTCTGAAACCTCTGTATGATCCTACCTCCATGTAGTGCAAAGTTGTCTGGATTTGTTATCTTTTTTTGTTGTCAAAACTGCATTGATCAGCTGACTTTGTAGGAATGTGCGACATAGATGGGTCTATTCCTCATTTGAAGGAAGGCTGTGAATGATTCCTGCATGACATTTGTGATGTTTGACACAGGAACTGAACTACTAAACTTATTGAAGGAAAAATTTAGAGGAGGTCTGATACACAGATGATGATGCTAAATAGTTGTGAATTGGGGCAGGATACCACAACAGGCCTTAGGAAGAAAAAAAACAGCTAGTAAAGCTTTACAAACTTCTTTTTACTGATGGTTTTTAATCCAATTAGGAGACCATCGGATTTTTTTTTAAAAATCATCAGAAAGTGTTAATAGTGTGTTTAAAGTATACAATTGACTGTAAAATAAAGCTTGTTGATTTTCAGCCGTTGGATTATGGTGAGGAATGAGGGACTGCGTTTAAGCCATGTGAAGTAACTAAATAGCTGAACCAGATATGTTTAGGCTTCTTGAAAAGAAAAGGGTGGACAATTAAGCGGAGTTTAAGGCTAGATGCCTTCTTCAGCAGACAATGCAAAATATTTTGGTGCCAGTTGGTTGTTGATGGATGTGATCAGCTTCAGTGTATAATGATATTAAGTAGTTATTGGTGGAGCAAATAAGATGAATTCTTTTTTTTTTTTTTTTAAATATTTGTATGTAGTTCATAGTGAGCCACGTATTGATCAATGAGTTTGAAAAAAAACACTACGGCTAAGGCCATGAAGTCAGCTGTGATCCTGCCTTTGCTGCTAGGAGACCCAGGAGATGCCAATGTCATTCCCATTGTATAGCTGTCAGCCAGGATTCATAATTACAGATACTTGACCCATCAAAGGATCAGTTAGCCATAGATTGAATAGCTATCTGGCTTGCCATCAGAATATTCAGTTTTTGATATGAACAATTAGCCAGTGATAATCTCACTTAGCTTGATGTTGCCCAGAATCTGATGTACTTACAAGCACAAATTCTTCTCATCGACTAAAAAAATGTTTTAATATTAATCCATTTATAAACTGACACTAGGCACTTGTTATTGCCTTGTTGACTTGTTTCAAGATTTGTTATGCTGGAAGCTTAGATTGTAGTCACTATTGCGCTCAAAAGGATAATAGTTTTTTTGTGTGCTTGTATTAAAACTGGATCTGCAGCGAGGTTGTACAATTGTCATCAGGATTGTTTCCCCTCAGCTGACAACCAAATGATTCAGTTTTCTTTTTATTGGCCCCACCCCACTGAACAATACTTAATTTATATATTAATTAATTTTTAATTTTCAAATTTATGGATGATCACATCAAATATAAAAATCCTACTGGAGTGGATATACTCTACTTAATAAAAAAAGCCGAAGAAAAAAACCATTGCAGTTAACATGAAACCTTACATTGAGGTATGTGTCAACTTATTTTTCAGGCTATGCCTGGAAAGACTGGAAATTTCCTCACTCCCTGGAATACTTTTTGCACTTGTCTTTTCATTGAGGAAAAGAAAAAGTATTAAAACATATGGAAATAATGTATTGGGAATCCTGCTTGAATTTCATTGCACAGGGCTACAAATAAATTTCATTTAGCTCATTAATTATTAATTTAGCAGCAAGGGGGCTCAAATCTCTGCATTCATTAGAATAGTTTGCACTTGTTTAATTTTTTTTGGTTAAAAAATATTTTAAAATGTATAAACTTCTTGTGAATACAGTTCATTGTTCTGTCAAAGTTTCAACATTCAGTGTTTCATTGTAATAGAATTCCTATGTTTTTATGCGTGCAAGTCTCTGGCAACTGTCCTCAGATATCAGTGAACATATCAATAAATAATTTTTTTACGCAGATCTGCTCTGTTTATGGTATATCATGTAACGCTAAGGTGATCTCTGAACCGCTGTTCTATTGTCTCTATTTGTCAAAGGCAACTGGTTATGGGTCAACCCATTTCTCTCTATTTGTTAGATCTCATCAATACAATGTTCTATTTTAAATGGATTTCTCGCTAAATAACTCTCAAATTATAATAATTTTGTGTGACAAGCTCTTTCAATGGTTTCAATTAAATTAGAGAATTGCTTGAATTTTTATTTCTATTAAATATTTGATGTGAAGCACTTTTAAGAAATGGCTATTCAATGTTAAAAGGAGCACTGTCAAATAATAAATCTGGGTAATTAACATCGAGATACATTTTGGGTTAATCAAAAGCCTAAATCTAAATATGGGTTATGAATTTATTCCTTAATTCTGACACACATTTATTATTTAAAATTCTTTAGCGCAACTTGGGACTCATATGTTTCATTTCATAGACTTAAAAATACTTTTGACATATCAGACATAAATTTATCATAATACTAGAAACTATTACAACATGATGTATAAGACTGATCATAAACTTGTATACTGAAATCACTGACTCAACCTGTTATACATTATCCTCACATATCATGTCAAGCTGGAGACTGTCATGTCACAGTGACTTTAGAAAAAATAATGATAATTTATTATAGCTTTAATGTCCGCCATTGTATAATTATTATTTTTTTTTTTTGGAAATTTATTTAATAGATTTTGTAAGACATTTTATACTTTAATGGTTTATCACTGTTTTTCTCTGTAGACCATTCAGCCATTATAGAAAGAAAGCTCATTAGATCTATAAATATTCATCCATTACTCTTAGTAAACAAGACATTTTATTTAATTACAATTTTTTTGTGTAAATGGAAGGATCTGCCTCAAGTAAGCCATTTGCAATTTTGATAATTATGTTATACTTCCACCATATCTGATTGTGTCAACATCATTTTAAAATTATATTTTCTTAAAAACTGCAGCAGCATTTTCTCCAGCATTGATTCATTTTTTTCATTGGCAGCAGTTCATGAAAACTGATTTTGGACCAAGTATCGCAGCATTTGAAAATCTCATCTCTGGACCAACTTAATTCCTATTAGATGAATTATTTCAACTGTTGAGTGATAAAAGGCATTTTAAAACGTTAGATGCTAGAATTTGTATTTATTTATTTTTTTGTAAGACTTCACACAGAATTCTTGATGAATACTTGATCATCATATACTTTAAATTTAAATGAATAATTAAAATGCCTTACGAATTAATTATGGTGTTTTTGATTAAGGGTCTAAATTATAATTTTAAATTATCTATTCAACTTATCAACTGAATGACCAGGATGATGCTTCAGAGCTGCTGCCCCTAACTGAATATCATTTTGTGGTTGTGCCCTTGTAAATAATCCTTTGGTTAACTCTCTTAAAGATTTTTTAAACGTGTACTTTTTCCCCTTACAATGGATTGTCACTGTAACACATACTCCACTGCGTACAGTTTTACCATTATACATTAATTTATATTTGCTGATTGAGATTTTCTCACAGTTAAGGTTGTTGTTTTTTTTTTACACTATAAACACTTATAAAGGTTCATCTATTTTATAAAACAGTTTTTGTGCTTTACAGTTATTATAATTTATTTAAATATTAAATTTAACGTTGTGACTACATATACGAATTTAAAACAGATTAAGAATACAATGTTCTTTTTGTAAAATTAACTCTTTTACATTAATTCATGTAAATATTGTTATATTTGTACATCCTTTGAAAAGAGTGAGAATGGCATGGCTCTATAAAAAAATTTAAAAATATTTTTTTCATTTTCTTTTTTAAGTTATACTTAATGATGATCTGATTTTAAGATCTGTTTGATTTCAAGGTCACAAGGGTGTGGGAGGACATGGGTTGCATCTGGGAGAGCATGGTTTTTATATCAGAGAGTTTGTAAAGTTATGCTCTATGTTCTACTAACATGATGTGGGGGAGTTATGTTAACTTGAAAACAAAGAATGCAACAAAAAAGAAATTTGATCTTTTTAAGAAACCTGTGACTAATATTTGGAGACAACTGTTTTTCTGATGTTACGCATCCTAAGAGCATTTGATATAATATATAATTCTTTATATCACCCTGCAGCTCTTTTTTTTTTCTTAGAAGGATCAGAGAATCTTTGTAGGATCTTCTTAGTTCACTTTTTAAATGGAGGCATAGGCTAAGAGAATGGGGGACTCTTAGAAGGCAAACCGACTTAAGGAATAGTTACATTAAACAATAGTTATATTTTGCTTTTAGTTTAACTTATAAAGATTTAAATTCAAATGAACATTCAATGAAAATAGCTTTTGAAAGGAAACAAAATTTTTATATTTATGAAATATTTATTTATAATTAAGTAGAAAGGATGATTGAAGATAGTTGTATTATTATTATGGCTCCTCTCCTGATGTTGTTGTCTGAGCAGGGAAAATAAAGTGTACTTGAAAGATCAGCTCAATTTTACCACCCCCGTTTGAATGCAAACTTAGCATCGCAAACTTATGTAAATATTAATGATGGAATACACTTGTGTGTGAAGAGTCGTTTGTGTGAATTTTTAACAGAAATGTTTGAATCAACACTTAGAATTTCACTATAAAATCATATCAAGAAATATTTTGTGAATAGATTTATTTGTTTTGATATTTCTTTTGTTTAGCCAGCCCTTGGGACCATTAAAACGTTTTGCACATAAATTCTACTACTGGGAAATAAATACATTTAACTATGTTCAATAACTTAATGAGTAAACTGTGAAATCCATTTGGTTACTATTGGTTATGAGCAACAACCTTAATGAATTGGATCATTTTTATATATTGGCTGTTTTTTTTTTTTTTGTTGCTGCTTAAGAAGTCTATTGTGAAGACTGGACTAACTTTACCCTTATTGTTTGTTGTTTTTTGTTTAAATAAAAATTATTAGAAAGAGATATTTTTTAATTAGTTATATCCATATTCAATTTTTAAAAAAAATAAATCACAATTCTATATTTGAACATATCTCAATGAAAACCCATAAGGGGGGGGGGGGGGGTTCGGTCAAACAACTTTATTTGCTACAGCAACCATATGAAAAAAATATCCTTTATGGCTTTACATGAAAATAAAGGCATGAATGTTGAGAGTCAGTTTAACAATGGTTAGCTGCGGGGTGAATGGTTGTGCTGTTGTTTTATCAACTCGTTTAAAGGATGTACTCGGACTACACAGAATCAAATCATTTTTTTAAAATGATGTTTTGTTTTACTTTTTTTTTTTGTTGGTTATTGTATTGTTTGGCCAGTCAATAAGCTTTGATTGACTGTTGCCCCGTTCTATTTTAGAGATACATACAATATTTGTACACATAAAATGTTCAATTAAAAAAATAAACAACAGAATAAAGATGTTACCCTGTTGTTTTTTTCCCCATCAATTGTGGTTAATTGACATTATTGAGAGTGAATAGTTTATGAAAATTTGTAGTCAGTTTCGTGTCCCCCATGGGGACTGAACATTGCTCAACTCTTAGTAACTTTCATAGATCAAAGTGCCCAGCTGGACATGACCGATCTGTCGTTACTGTTCACATAGCCCTGAGACAGCTTCGCACCTGGTAGCCATGTGCCCACGCTGGGGACAGGAGGTGCTGTGGAGCCAATGGCCCGTATTGTGGCCCACCAGATGAGGCTCGCCACAATTAGCAGGGGAGCGATTATTTTAGCCCTCAAGTGAAAACGTACGAGCAGGTTAGGTTTTACCATTTGGAGACCCCCTGGCATAGACAAAGATATGTGACTTTAACGTCTATGCTTTGTCTGTGTGATGAGTAGTGTTTGATGATGAATACGCAGCATTTTTAAAAATTTTATTCTGTAACACAAATCATATATTTAGCAAAAAGAAACACATTTCCAAGACTTTGATTAAGAAAACTCTGCCAGTGAACAAAAATTTAATAATAAAAACAACTCTTAGTCTTAATAACCCCTGCCCCTCACTCATGAAAATTACTTAATATAATGAAAAGTATTCTGAATACATATCAAACATATTATGATATAAGCATAGACCAGAGTTGCTAATCGTCCGTAAATTTACCTGGTCTGCAAAATTGACCAAAAATGACATGCCCGTAAATGTGCTCTATCTTGCTCGCTTTACACTTGTTAAACACTTGCAGGATGCTTTTAATAATCATATGGTCATAAAGTTGACAAAGAAGTGACAATAAGTACATGTAAATAGGAATGTTTCTAAATATTAACTCCATAATAAAAACAATTTTACAGCCCTATCATCTGTCAATATGTATCCATGCAAGATAATATGCTGGTCTGTAACAATTATGAAGCTTTTTTTTTTTACTTCACTGGAAAGTTATTTATTTGATTTGAACACCCTGTAATAATGCCTTATAATGCCTTATATTGTTATGTGGAATGAAAGCGCATACAAAGGGGGTGTTCTCGGGGTTTGGTGGTCAATCTCGTCTCCCTTCCACCTATGTCCGTAATTTCCTAATTTAATAAGCATGCACCCAAAAGTATGTCGCAAAAATATAAAATTGAAACCATTAGTAACAAAAAAAAAATTGCCCCGGGTGAGGATCGAACTCACGACCTTCAGATCGCTCGCTGGTTATTTGATTATGAGACTGACGCGCTACCTACTGCGCTACCGAGGCGTTGACTACGGTCATGAAATTGTTTTATTTAAAATAATACTAATTGCTTTAGTGCAAAGTTTTATATTTTTTTAGAAAATAAAATACTATTATTGACTGATTAATTACTTAAAAATTATTTGATTTCATTTATTATATTTTAAAGCTTTGAAATTTTTTTTATTAGCTACGCAATACAGGTTTATTTATTTAGCCCGAGACTATTTGCACATCCGTAAAATTTTGTTTAGCTTAGCAAGGATGGTTGCTACGGTAGTTCCAAATTTGAAGAGAACGTCCTTTTCATTGGTTGTATGTTAGAAATGATCCAATGAAATAAATTGTTTTATAAAGCATCAGTTTAACATTATCTATGTTATTGTGGTTGGAATTAAAATTATAGTGTCAAACTCATAGCCACTTAATGGACTAAAAACTCAACGATACGATGGTTTTACCAATTAAGCTTGCGTGATGAACCATTTAATTATTGTAGAGGTACCATTGTAGAAAATAAATCATATTACTGTAACTACGCTAGTGTAACACTGTACTAGTACTAGTAAGTCCGGCCCATTTATTATTTATATATTATTATTATATCATTGGTTACTTTACTTTATAAGTTTATATTTATTTATTATAACTCTATCTCTAAAATTAACGAAGGACTTAATTCTTGTCTTGTCTTAGACTGTCTGTAGGCTACCCTATTGTTTTGGGGTTTTTTTTGGGCCTATCTTAGGCAGCATAGCGCAAAGAAGATTACCTCTGACTAATGAATGAATTATTAATATTAATTGAGTTTAAACTTAGTTTTTAATCCTAAAATATATAATATATTTTATATATTAATTTTAAGTTTAAAAAGCATCCATATTAACTTATTAAGTCTAAATAGGCATCCATATAGTGGGTTGAAGAATATGTGACAGTGTAATTTGAGTAGTAGTAGTAGTAGTATGAGCATGTTGAAATGTGTGAATGTCCTTGAGCCTTAATGTGGAAAAGTTGTGGGGCAAAAAAATTCAGAAGACATGAACTAGTTAACCCTTTGGATCTCAGATAAACTCTATTAGTTTTATATTTATATGAAGTTGAAGTTGAACTGACAGTATTTTAGTGATTAAGGTCAGGAAGGCATTTTTAAAAAAAATCCATTCATTGAAATGATTATCAATAATTGAACTAGACCAACTAATTTTAAAGTAGACCTATACTTTCTGATATTATGTTTTTCCCTATGCTTGATACTATACTATAGTATGCTATCAATACTATTTTTATTAAAACATATGCTAATATAATATGATTTACTTCATTTACCCTCTGATTCTCAATTTTCTGATGCATTTTTAGGGGTGTCTGAAATTGACATTAATAAATAAAAACTAGTTATTCTTGCATCAACAATTTCTTAGTAACAGGTGTACAGGAGTTATCAGCATCTTGACTGAGATTGTCCCATTATTTCACGATCACACCCTCCCCCTTTGTCCCAAAAAAGTCTCTTGGGATGCCTAAATGTCCCATTTCTAAAACCAAACACATCTTTTAATCATTAAACCTCCTAATTTATGATATAACTTCAAGTAATATTTTGGCTAGCTGTGTAGCCAGTGCCAGTAGTGATGTGGGCTCGCATGATGGCTGCACTGTTCCCCCTCCACCAATCTGGTGATGCTGCGTAAACGACAGTATCTCTGCTATAGATCTTAAACGTATAAATAAATAAGTATTCACTGCAAGATTATTGTTGCGTTTATGATATGCCTCAGAGTTTAAATTAAATTACAAAAGTGAAGGTAAATTTATAAAGATGTATAGGTCTCAAAATAGTTAAAAGGAGCATATTTCAATAAACTGTTTCCGGCGGAGGCCCCTGGACCCCTCTTTAGCTGGAGGGTATCCCCCCTAACTCTCCTTAGGTTTGTCCAGTTTTTTCCAGTTCATGATTTTGTCACCCTTTCCTATTCATTATTTTATTTTATTTTTTGATGGATAAATTGAAAGCTAAGTCCATCCTAAATCCTATGAACTTGACACAACTCACAGCGCTGTTTCATATTGTCACTTGGGCTGTTTAAGTAGTAAAGCTTTAAAAATAGTATTTTTGTCTTATTTAATATGAACAATAAATTGTATCATTAATTTTGCAGAAAATAATTGACTGAAAGATGGCTTCTCAAGATACACTCATTCAAAGTGTAGGATCTCCTAGAATAGAAGGTCAAACAGCACTGAGAAGTGCACAGTCGTCTCGAGGAGGACGAAGACCTGATGGATTTCCCATTCTTCCTCCAATCACCAAGCCAGAAAAAAGAACAGATCATTTTGCAAATAGCAAACTGCTTACATTTAGACTTGCTGACCATCAGAAAAACTTACTTTTGCAAATTTTGTAAGTTACTTTAATACAATTTGAAATACATAAGTAATCCTCTAATCTACAATTAAATATTAATTAATATATGCAATAAGATTTCTTAAACAGTTGTATTAATTTCTGTATACTTTTTTATAAAAAGGTTTGTAGAAGTTTCAAATGTACCTAAGCTATCATTGTAGATTTAACTGAAAATTCAATTACACTAGATAGAAATTTTTTTCACAGAACATGAACAAATGTCTAATTCATATATTAAATTACTTCATTTTGTACTCAGAAACAAAGAAGCTGAACAAGCCGCAGATAATGAAAAGTTTTATTATAAACAACACAAAGATGATCCAAAACCTATTGAACCAGAAATGCCCCAAGAGGTTTGTATTAAACATGTGAAACATATTGCATGCTCTAAAAGCCTTGTAATCATTGCATGGAAAAGACACACACAAATTGAAGACAAATTAAATTCCAGTAATTCAGTTTTATATTATGTGTGAGCAAACTAAATTCTTGTGGAGGTTAATGAGAAACATTTAAATAAACCCTGTTGCTTAATTATTCTTTTTTAATTCACATTTCAGATGATGAGCAAAGACAGAAGGATACAAGTATGTAAAGTCTCTCTTATATAAGTGGTCAAGTATTAGATCTAAGCAGTAATTTTTGCCTAAGTTGCCCTTAGTAATGCATTTGACAATAAATTTCAGAATTTTTTATCCTGCTGCTGGTCATATATTGTTTTGTTTTTTTTACAAAATAAATTAGTAGTTTAAGTGGATTCATTACAGTACAACTGTTTAGGCAGAATTAATGTCAGCTTAGAGTTTCACCATTGTGCATACATTTTCACAGCTAAACTACAAATTCCTGAAAGGTTGTGTGGAAACTGGGCCAGTGGAACCAATGCAGCAGGCATGGGCAGATCGCATCCTCAAAATGATCCCAGATAACCTCAAGCATGGCAGACATCTTGGGGAGCTTATGCAGGAGCTTTTAGCAGAAGTTAAAATCCTTTTTGAATCCAGCATGCGTAAATCTATGGGTAGGCTATAATTACACTGATACTTGAATGATAATGAGAAATCTGCACTTATTTCTGCAAAACGTTCTTGATATATCATGTACTAAAAATATATTTTCCAAAAACTGATATGTAAGAAATTTTTTGTTTATTTAATTTTAAAAAATAGTCAAGCATAATATGAAATTATATCTTATCTTGTTTTGATTTGTTTAAGTTCAACATGTCCTGATCAAGCCAGAAGTTAAAGGATTAGAGAATGAGGAGGGCGGACCACCACCAGAAGAGCCAGTGTGAGTAAAATCACTCTATTAATTTTCAAACAATGCCAAGAAAGTTGCTGAGATTTAGGCCTATAGCCTAAATTTAAGTCATTGTATATAAATAATTTAGAATATTTGCCAAAATTACAATTTTTCTATACTAAAGCAAATTTAAAATTATTTAATTATGTTTTTTATTGTGACTTATTTTAAAAATGAAAAAATAAAACACCTAATTTTGAGGAAAAAAGATTTAGGACATTGAAAAAAAAAAATTCAAAATAACTTTTATTTATATTTTTTTTTTATAAGATGCTTTGTACTACCCAAGAAATTTTTTTTTTATTTTGAATTAAAAGTGAACTCCTGATAAAATTGTTTTAATAAAATGCATCTTTTTTATTTAGGCCACATTTAGTGTTGAAGACTCGAGTGAAGTGCTGTTGTGGAAATGAATTTATTTTGTAAAATAAAATCAATAATATTTCAAAGAGGATATTTATTTGAAGATTTGAAATTCTTTCAGTGGCCTTGACTATTCAAAACCATGGCATGAGACATTCCAGGAAAACCAGAAAAACATGCTCCAACACTTGTACTGTCTCCATCCATCCCATCAAACAGTGCTTCGTATGTGCCAGACAACTCTAGGAAACTTGGTTCTAGTTGATATGAGCCAGTATTGGTATGTTATTTTTTTCCAAATAATAACCAGGAGTAGTAATTTATTTATGCATTATCCTCTTAATGCTATGAATTTTTAGCATCCAAAACTATCTTTATCATCACTACAAATGCATTTCAGACTTAGTATATTATTTTCTAGTGTTATTAAATTAGGTTTTAAAAAAGAAGAAAAATTGTTGACCATTTCCTCTCTATCTGCACTAATATATTTCAATATTTTGATTCTTTTTTATTTAAAATTTAGATTTGCTGAATTTACATAATTTGTAATAAAATTCAGTTGTTTATTATAAATACTAGTTAAAACAAATTAAGATTAACATAAACAATAAAAATTCCTATTATAATTTTTAAATATCTAGATTAGCCATGTCATTTTGAAAAGTAAATTATTCTTTATAGTTTTTTGGTATATGTTTCGTTGAATCTTAACTTTGATACATTCTTTTGTAAGTTTTTTCTTCTTCAGATTTTAAGTTAATTACGAAACTTGAATTTGAAATTAAAAAACAAAAGTCTTTGGTATCTTCTAATTTCTTTAACCCACGAACTGTCCCTTGTTTGTTTCTGTACTGTGGAGTCAATTTAGAGCTTTTTGGGTGCCTTTGAAAAATGTGATTTTTTCACAATCAAATACTATAGCTAGACCCCATAAAGTATATATTTATTGAAAGTAGACTGGGTGGGAAATCATTATCATACTGGCTATTTTTTAATATTTTTTTACTCGCTGACCGTGACTTTGACCTTGGAGTGACCAAGAATAAAGAAAATAAAGAAAATTTTTCTTTTCAAGTACCTCAAACTACAATTTTTTGAAGGCATATTATTATAATGTTTATATAATATGATAGCATTTTTATATATCTTTCAGAAAATGTATTATTTGTATATGTTTTAGTTATTAATATATATTTTTTTTTAAAATTTCTTCTGATACTTATAATTACGTGAACGTAACAAAGCATGACATAGACAATGTAAACATTGCTAAATAGCAAGAAACAGATAAAATTTCAAAAGCTGTTGTATACAAATTTTATCCATAAAATGAAATATAACAAAACATTTATAGAACAACATCCAATTATTTTTTGTTGGTACAAAATCATCTAAAAAATAGTTTTGAATGTTGTTGAGGCAATTTATACTCGTTCTAGGCCTAGGTCTAAATCGTCCGAACTTTCGCTTTCTGACCCAGTAGAAAAATAATCAGAATTATCAATGTCTTCGTGTGTGATCGGAAAATCATCTTCCAAATCATTTAAGTCATTAACTAATAAGAATTATCAAAAAGATTCCTAACTGATTTATTTTGTAAGCCAGATGGTCCAGCTATGGCCTCATCCACTTCGCGAAAATCTACTGACACAAATTTTCTTGATAAAGATTGTTGCAAAAAAGTCAAAGAAGAGCGAAAAAGAGAAATTAATTTATTAATAAAAGGAAGTAGTTTTATTTAGTGTAAAATATTGGACTGGAACTTATTCTTTCAACGCAATCTTTATCTGCCGTTTTTATCGGCCGTCACAGTTTGGGAAGAGGAAATCTGGAGATGAAATCGGCTAACGACAGTTCATGGGTTAAATACAATTATTCTAAAGATAAAAAAAATTTTATTTACAATCTTTAAAAAATTTTGTTAAAAAATCTCAAATTAGATTAAAGAATTAAAGATAGAGCCCTAATAAGCATCATTGATACAACCTTTTTTTTAAAATCAGAAAAAATATATAAAATTGTTATTATTTCAGCCTATCAGGCCCTATCGAGTTTGACAGCCTAAAAAACAATGTTACCCTTGATCTGGAGAAAACAGAAGAAAAACTGATGCACTCGTAAGTAGTCACGGAAATGTTAAAGATTAATTTTTACATTATCATAGAGATGAGACAGCTAATGAAAGAGCATGTAACTTTAGGGGTTTATAAAATCTGTTATAGTGGCAAAAAATGTGTAAAAACCCATTTAAAATTTAGCTGAACTGCTGAACTGCTAAAAGCTTTAATATGTCTAGCATGTGAAGACTGTTGTGGTGCACATGCCTCTTATACAATGATAAAAGTGACTTGAAGCTAATTAGTTTTACTCATTTTATCAGATGGCATCCTGGTATAATCAACATCTTTACAGACAAAAACAGTTTCCTTGAGATTCCTGCAGAGAACATGGAGACTTTTTATGCTAGTGTCTCAACACTCATATCCAACCAGGTTAACATGATTATGCTGAAAACTTATTTTATGTTCTTTCATTGTACAAAAAAATCAATTTTTTAAATTTATTAGTCTTAACTTTTTAACATTTTAGATTTTTTTAATAAGTCAGTACTTAAAAAATATAACCTAAAGCTGCTTATTACTAATAAGAATTTTGCCAACAAAAAAATCTCTAGAGTAATTGCTTGTTAATTGGATATGATTTTTTTTAAAAATTACCACAATTTATTTTCTTAATGTTTGTTAGAGTTTCAGCTTTTTATCACTTTTATCTATCAGCTTAAGGACTTGCTTGTCCGCACCATTGATGCCTACACCAACCTGTTTGAACCTGAAAACCATCTCTTGTTGCCAATCTTAAAGATGGAGTTGACATTCGATGATGAAAAGATGCAATTTTACCCACCAGTGGAGGATTTGGAGGAGACTGTCCTCTTTGTCATTAGTCAGATCTGCAAAACCATGCAGCAGGTGAGATAACCTATTTTTTGTTTTTATTTTTTTTTTTTTATATCATTTTTTTAAATAGGTTTTTAGTCTTATTTAACACTTAGCCTCTTTGAAAATGTTCCAAAATATAATTTTGTTTAAGGACATGGAGCTCAAAAAAATAATTTGTAAAAAGTATGAGTTATTCAATTTTTGTGTAAACTGACAAAGTTAAAAAAATAAACGTCAATTCATTTACAGACATAACAAAAGATATCTTCATTTATCATTCAGGTTCCCACTGTGCACTCTTGGCTAGGTGGAGGTAACACTGTCACCTACACTGATGCCAAAATTGCCCCTCACATTTTAGATGTGTACAAACAAAGACTGAAGGAGGCAGTCATGCGACTTTTTGAAGGGCCAAAACAGCATCTAAATTCTTTCAGTGAGTTTTTTTTTTATACTGCTCATACTGTATTTACTGAATATTGTATCTAGATTACAGTTAGCCTAAATATCAATGAAATTAAGAAATAATAAAGATTTTTTTTCAAAACTATTTGATTAATTATCAATATGAAATTTTAAAGTGCTGTAGTCATAAAGAGAATAAATATTTAGATTTTGTCTTACAAACTGATTTAGTTTTTCTACTATTTTAGTGGAGAGATATAACTACATTGTCAACGGAGAGGCCCTGGCTGAGATAAAGGAATATATGAAGGACAAGCACACATTTGCTGAGTATACTGTGGTGAGTGATGGCACAAAGTACATGTACATTTTATACTTAACTGCAAAGGGGTGAACTTATGCAAGTTGTATGTGTATTTTGAAAGATTTGTTAATATAAATTAATATTCCCTTTGCTGAATGTAATCAGTATTAGGAATGAATTTTGGTAAATTTTGCCATATTAATAAAATAACCTGAAAAAAAAATCCTTTTAAAAATCAGTGTTTGATGTATCATGACACCTTTGTGACAAGAAAATAATAAGAATAATTATTTTTACTAAAATTTTTCTAAAAGGTTTTATTTCAACAATATAATTTTTATCTAGCTGTTATTTTCTTAAAAATCTTCATTATGTTACAGTTTAATTTTGTTTATTAAAATCTACTTCAAATATTTACAATTATTTTCTGAAAATTAAATAGTATTAATCATACACTTTTTTATCAAATGAATCAATATAAAATTATCTAGGAAATGTTTTTAAAAATTATGAAATACTATTTTTATAAATAAGGGATACACCTTGGAAATTTTTCCAGGAAATTGAGAAATTTCGCAGCCTTGCCTCAGAAATCATGGGCCTTCCAAGCATTGAACACTTTGACATGATTAGATTAGACTGTGAGGACTTGAAAAGAGGTTTGGCTAAAGTCTGTCGCAGTCATGCTGATGAGCTTCTGAGTAGGGTCTCCTCGGACCACCGCAGAGAAAATGAGGGGTAAGCTGAGTTGTAATATTGGTTTGGTCCACCTGAGGCAAATAGTGAAGAATTTGCACACTCTTGGTAGCTTTTCTTTGTTTGCATGTAGTGTTTTGAAATAGTCTGGAATTTTTGGTAGATAGTTGAGGCACAAGTCCTGAAGAAATGAGCAGTGAAAGAAGTGATGCGCTACTGTCTCATTAGAATTTCTGCAGAGGAGGCATGTTGATGTTTTATCTGGTTTGATGCGGTTAAGGGGAGAAGTAAGTTGAATGTGTCCTGTGCACTTGCAAATGATAATGACCTGTTTATGTCTGTGGAGGCAATTTATTGGATCTTTATGGTCTTCTCCAATTGCAAATTGATACTTCAGATAGCGGAGCATCAATATCTTACAATAACAGTATAGTCATTACTTCTGAAAATAAACACTTTCCTCGAAACCTATTCCATCAAGTTAACCTTAAAATGGATTCCCAGGTCACCACACTATACAGAGAGCAGACAAACTAGCTAAATTGTGGAGCATGTAATGAACAGTCAAACATACCTACATCATTTAACACTGCAAAGAAGATTATTAGAGCTAATAAAAAAGAAAAATATGGTTAAATGGACAGGCAAGGGGCTCAACGGGAAGATATGTGTTCACACACATGCTCAACCCAAACCCTAAAGAGTAACACTGTGGTTTATTCAATGGTTGGGAACTGCCATAACGATAATTTGGTTACATAGTTATGTATTTCAGGGTAAAATAGATCTCAATTTTTTTCCCCTTCCAAAAATTTAAAGCATCTGCAAAGAATTCTCCCACATCAAAGAGAGGGCTCTAGCTGTACCAGGAGGAAGTGAGGAGCTGATTGACATGCTCAACTTTGTGGAGATTGCCCGAACAACTGGCATGATCAAACTCAATGAGAGAATAACAGTAAGTTGAGATTTTCATGTTCAGGTGGTAATTGGCATAATGTGAACCAGTCACTGGCCAGAGAGCTTTAAGTTGTAAAATGTTATTTTCAAACATGGGTGGTAGAGTCATGGTGTGGGCCCTGCAACCCCTGCAGCTTCAGGAGGGCCTGGGAAATCTAAGGGGCCCAAAGCTGGGATGTGGAAAATATTTTAACTATCACCTTTAAATTGCACTGGGCACAAAACATATAAGTGGCAGGGAGCCTCCAAAAGTCAAGCTATGGCACTGGTGATGGATGGTCTGATGTTTCTTGAAAATCCTGAATTGAAACCACTCAAGGGAAAATGAATTCTTTGTTTTTATTTTATCCACAATGTTATAAAATTAACAGTGATGTTATCTTTCTCTACAGGAATCAAAAGACAGACTGGCTTACCTGATTGATGTGTTTTTCTTTGAGCCTAAAGACATTGAGTTGAATTGTGAAGTACTCACCTGGCCCAAGAGAATCATGCCAATTTTTGATGAAAATGACACAGTAAGAAGGACTTCTAATAATTTTTCTGTCCTATCTGTAAACATATTTTAAATAATAAATTATAACACCGTTTAAGATATAAAATATTACTGTCACTTTATAGTCTTGAATTCATTTTATTTTTAACATATTTTTGGAATCTCTAAGTTATACAGCTTGGGATAGGTCAAACTGAATTGTTTTTAATTTGTAACTATTCTAAAAGAGTACTATTTTTAAAAATGTATTACTACAAGAAGTGCAACTTAGATTTTGTATTTTAATATTTAATTTGGGGTATGGGAAAACCACTTTTAGCAATATTTTCTTTAGGTTTCCACAATGTTTGTTGATTCCTTTGATTATTCCACATTTTCTAACACTTTTGCCTCCTGTGACCTACTTTCAGCTGGTGGAGCAAGCCAGACAGAAAGGGGAGAAAGAGCTTATCCACAAAAGAGAGAAGGTCATGCTGGAGTTGGAGAAGCTGCGACAGAGAGTAGATGAGTTCAACGACTATGGTGAGCTGGATATGATGCAGCAGTATGTGCAGGATGTACGTGTTGTTCAGCGCCGTATTCAAGACCTGACTGACCAGGTGAGTTCTTTCTGCATGGACATAGGTAGCATCAATGAGACAATAGAAGTAAAATGTCATACAACCAGAAACACTTAGTTTATATTATTATTTGTGCAATAACAAACGGATATAAGTTTATATTATTATTTGTGTAATAACAAACGGATCATTTCAAATAGGACATTTTCATTACCTTTTTTAATGTATAATTCTTTACACTTTTCTGTTAATACAGAAAAAATGTATTTTGTAGAGTACTTATATGCCTCAGGAAGGTGCTGAAAAATTAAATAACATCATCTCCATTGATATTAGGTTTAAAAAAAATAATGCAGAAATGAATAATAAAACATGCCATAAAATTATTACCACTTAATCTTGTGCCTATTCCCAGGTGAGCTGGATAAATAAAGAGGAGCAGCTCTACAAGTATCCACTCTCCAGTTATCCAGACATAGAGGACATCAACTCATCCCTGGATCCATTCTTACGTCTGTTCACTGTCATCTCAAAATGGCAGAAGGCAGAGAAAAAGTGGGTTTTTATCATTCTTTTCATGATATTCAATATGTTCAACAAACATTTGTTTATAACTACCCAGAGACACCAGTTAAAGACCTTCCTATAGTGATATTGTGATTAAAATGTAAAACTGCTTTAAACATTCCTCCCCCCCCCCTTTTTTTTCCCCTCTTCATTATAAATAGTAAATTCTTGTGATCTTCATTTTATTTGTTGTTCAATGTCAGTTTTATTGACATAAATTTATTATTCATAAATAAATTAGAACAATGGACGGTGCCTTCCTGGAGCAGAATGCAGAGGCTATTGAAGGTGAAGTGGACGAGTACTACAGGTGAGCTGATCACTTTCTTTACCATCATCACACCCTTTGTGTGTTTTTCATTGTTTTCATTGCACTAGGGAGCAAGATTAATAGTTTTTATATTGTTTAAGCAAACAATGCTGTGGCAGCTTTGAAGTGTTCTGAACCAATGTAAATTTTGCTGTGCCAGTCGATAAACACTCAGCTGTAAAACTTTCATTGAACATTTTGAATCAGTTGATAGCCTCGGTGTATCAATGTCAACCCTGTAACTTAATGGTAACTAAGTTGTGTGCCTCTTGATTTAGATGTAGCAAATTTGATTTTTTTTTATTTTAAATTATTTTTATTTTATTTTGGGTACGAGTGTGAGTGCATCCCCCAACGATTGATAAAAAGCTGGGTTGAATGGAATTTAGCTAAGTAAGTCAGCAGTAAATCTTGAGTAAAAAAAAACAAAAAAAACTAACCAATTTTATTGACTAATTTGAACAATGGACATTGCACGTTCCACACAACAGAGAACTATTCAAAATCCAGAAAGTCTTCAACCAGAAGGTCAAGAAGATGCAGATGGAGATGGAGGAGATGGACAGGGAGAAGAAGAAGAAGAAGAGGCTGCAGGACGAAGATGGGGAGGAAGCCACCCCGGAGGTGGAAGAGGAGACTCTGAGGATACCCGAGGCTGTGAACATCATCAATACCTCCATGGAGTCGATCAAACAGTTCAAGGTATCAGTTCTGTTGGACAAACCAAACATTTTACAGTTATATTAACAATATTTTTAATTTTTTTTTAAAAATATTTTTATCTAGGAGCTAGTTTATTTGTTATTTGTTTGTTTATTTTTTGGGAGATGTGGGAGGTAGTGGAACTACAGGAGGAGGTAAAAGTTTTATCTATGCTAAATTAAAAAAAAAAAAACTCTTTTAAATAATGCCTTTTAAGTTGATCTATGTTAATTTGTTAATCTTTGCCTTTTGCAAGAACTTACTAATTCACTCTTATGAAGCACATATGATATTTTTTTTTGGTTACATTCAGATTTTCCCCTCCTTGTTTGTCATTTAACAGGAAGTGATCCCCGTTATTGCCATCATGTGCAATCCTGGCATACGCAAGCGTCACTGGGACAAAATGAATGAGATTGCTGGCTTCAACCTAACACCGGACACAGGGACCACACTCCGCAAGATGCTCAAGTTAAACCTGCAACCTTTCATGGAGCAGTTTGAGACCATCTCTGGCTCCGCCTCCAAGGTACGTCCTGCTCTGGAATATTTCACTACTGAGGGCAGAGTCAAAGGGAATTTTCTGACACTAATTTTCTGACACTTATTTTCTGGCACTTATTTTTCTTTTCTGACACATATATTCTGACACAGTTATTTTCTGACACTTATTTTCTGACACTTATTTTCTGACACTTATTTTCTGACAAACTTATTTTCTGAGACACTTATTTTCTGAGACACTTATTTTCTGAGGCACTTATTTTCTGAGACTTATTTTTATTTTCTGACACTTATTTTCTGAAACACATATTTTCTGACACTTATTTTCTGACACTTATATTCTGACACACTTATTTTTTACACTTATTATGACCCAGGGGCTTTAAATGTTTGTTTTCATATCTGGGAGGATGTGACTGAAATGAAGTGATTGATAAAAAACAAAATGAAATCCAACAGTATTTGTAAAAAATTAGGAAACATGTTCCTTGCCAATTAAATATCTCAAAGACTTGATTCTTGGTTATCTGTAGGAATTTTCTCTGGAGAAAGCCCACAACAAGATGGTGGAGGAGTGGGAGACAATCAACTTCAACCTTATTCAGGTCAGTCCTAGTTGACAGTATTTGAATGCCTCTGGCTTTCTTTACCAAAGCTTTATTGTTAGCATTAGTTTCACATCCTTTTGATTGATTGCTGCACTAATCAAGTAGCGAAATGTGTTTATTCTTAATTCCAGTACCGAGACACAGGTGTCAGCATTCTTGCATCAGTTGATGACATGCAGACCATACTGGATGACCAAATTGTCAAAACACAGACCATGCGGGGCTCCCCATTCATTAAACCATTTGAGAAAGAAATGAAGGTAAATCATGAAGTTTGAAGAAGTAATTTTTGCAGGTTACTTAATGTAGATCAATGAATGTAGGTCAATAATTGTAGGTCACTAAATGGAAATTGTCAGATCTTCCAACATTTATTTGAAGAATCAGGTGTTCAGACCATTTCAGATTTTATTTGAATTCTATCCTCATACCTGAGTCGCTTGAGGCAGCTTGACCTGCTCTGACCTGAACGTGTCTAGCTGTATTCTGTTCTCTAATGTTTCCATCAACCAGGAGTGGGAGGACAAGCTGATGCACACCCAGGAAACCATTGACGAGTGGCTCAAAGTTCAGGCCCAGTGGCTCTACCTGGAGCCCATATTCTCCTCCGAGGACATCATGCAGCAGATGCCAGAGGAAGGGAGGCTGTTCCAGATGGTGGACAGGAACTGGAAAGATATAATGAGAAACACTAGCAAAGATCCCAGGGTGGGTTGTATACGACTCTACTTATAACTGAGTATGCAGGTTGGAATTTAAAAATTAATATATAATAGGTGTTGAGGAATAACATTCAAAGGCTTTTTTTTATATCCCTGATTTATTAGTTTCTGTTCTATTAAAATCATTTAATAAGTGAGGGCTAGAAAATTTTATTAAAAAATGTGGCAAAAAATGATATTTCTTAGACAGCTCTGATTGAGTAATAATATTTTACATAAAAAGAAACATAATGAAGAGGTGAGTAAATTTATTGTATCTTGTTATTCAGATGTGAATTATTCCATGTTTATATATTCATCAAAACCAAACTTATTCTTCAGGTACTAGTTGCTTGCAATGTCCAGGGCCTGCTAGACAAACTACAGGACAGTAACGGTCTTTTGGATAAGATCAACAAGGGATTGAACGCTTACTTAGAAAAGAAACGTCTTTTCTTCCCAAGGTATTAAATATAAACTAATCGATAATATTTACTGCTTAGCAAAGCAGGAAATCAAGTTAATTTACTTGAATCAATAAAGAAACTCCCCATTCTTTAACCAACTTGTTAAAGTTCCATTAAAATTTACATTTTTTTTTTATGCGATTAGGTTCTTTTTCTTGTCAAACGACGAAATGTTGGAGATTTTGTCTGAGACCAAAGACCCAACAAGAGTTCAGCCGCATCTCAAGAAATGCTTTGAGGGCATTGCCAAGTTGGAGTTTGACAACAAGCTGGATATTCATGCCATGTTTAGTAGTGAAGGGGAGAAAATCAAACTGAGCCAGGTTTTTAAAAAAACATTTCTCTATTGTTTTAAAATTAAGGAGCTTTAAATTATTCAAAAAATAAAGATTAGGTATTGTAAAAGGTTTGTGTTATATTTGATACTTATATTTGATGGCATTTCTTTATTTATGTAAAACAATTAAGTAAAATAAATTGAATTTTGGCCAGCTTTGTTTTGAGATTGAAGGTTACAAAAGTTTTTCTTATCAACTTTGAAAGTCATTAAGACAAATTGTTTGTCTCTAAACTAGGTCATTTCTACCTCTGAAGCCAGAGGAGCTGTAGAAAAATGGCTGCTGCAAGTGCAAGATGTCATGTTGATGTCAGTGCGTGATGTCATTGAGAGAGCAGTTGAGGTAAGTAGAGAGGATTATTTTAAATTTTGCCTCATGTTTTGTGTTTTGACATGTAACATACATAATTAAACACACATCATATACATAAATTACAATGTCATTTATTTTATAATTGACAAAAAAGCAGAGAATGTTTTTATGTTTCAAATTGTTTTGTTTTTTTCCCAAGGTGCACAATAATTTAAATAGCTGTTATTTTATGAGTACATTCCTCATTCATACCTGAATATATTTTACTTGAATGTTCCTCATTCCCTACCAACATATGTTTTGCTGTATTTACTATATGGCAGCCAAGATTGAACCCCAAACCAGGACAGGTATATATGTGCAGTTAATGTATATGATTACAGGCATGTAGTTTCAGTGCTTCCCAATTGTCATAGACCATGATGCTCTGGTGTGCATCGAACTAGTGAGAAGTCACTTCAAAAGATGTGACACATTTTTAAAAGTTATGTTCACTAAGTCAACTTAAGTCATCCTTTCTTTTTCTGTATGTGACTTGCATGTTACTGCATAAATCAGAATTTTCGCATCATATAACATGGTGGAGAAAATATTGGGAAGCACTGTGTTAGGTTGAGATTTTCTTTTATTCAACATGGACACAAAAAATAGGCTGGTCATTCATCAGCTGTCACTTTTTCATTAAATTTTGTTGGTTGCAGTTGAGTTTTATGGCACAGAAATGAGAAAATCCCCTGGCAAAAAATGGTTAAAACCAAAGTAATGATTAGAGATGGTTTCTTTGATTATTTCATACCATCACAGTTGTTCATACCATATCAATTGATTGTGGTATGTCCATGATTTTATTTAGTCACACTTCATCCATGATTTCAGCATTAATTAATCATAAAAATATCATAAAAATATCTCATTTTAAATGATTAATTCATATATCCACCATCATTTTATTCATTTTGTATTTTTTTATTTATTGTACCTGTTGTAGCTAGGTAGTATTTTTTTTTTAAAATGTAGTCTAATGTTCCTTGTTCATAACTTTTGTTTGTATGTTTAGTTGTTGATAGAGTCATGTGTTTTAGGTCACCATTAAATTTTTGTGAGGTAGAGATGTTTAGTGGCGTAATTTAAGGAATACATTTTTAAAACTGTCAATTGCTATATTTTTTTACTAATTTTTCCCAACTCATCTAATTCTAAGGTGGATCCCTTTTCATTTGAGGTATTATAAACTAAAACATCTATCCTGCTATTTAACTATGGATCTGTGCACCAGGACTTAAATGACAACATGAGTTATTGTCAAAGCTTTTCCAACATCTTTTGACTTTATTGAATCCACTACTTTTTACTAAAGCAGTGAACTCCAAAAAGAACTGTTTAAATGGTTTAAGGTTTGATATATAATGCTGGATCAGAAAATTATGTGAATAACTGTTTCACTCATACAGGCATATCCCATGACACCACGTACTGAGTGGGTCAAAGTGTGGCCAGGTCAAGTTGTCTTGTGCGTTTCCCAGGTGAGAAATCAACAGTGATGTCCATATGTCTAAACAGGGCTGTATAGTGAAATTCAGCCATGAGCCCATGGAATTTAAATGTACATTTAGTAAGGTCCCCTGTGAGTGATGTATCAGAAAGCAGCAGCAAACCTTGACATTAGCACATTTTTTTACATGACATGTACAATATTTTGGAGAAACCTTTTTAAATATAATAGTTCTTTATTGTTGGGTTATTTCCAATGTAAAAGAGAAATCCGGGTGGGAACACATTTATATATTAAAAAAGTATGTGTAGGGGGGCATCAGATAAAAATGGGGTATTGTCATGGGCGCCCGCAGAAAACTTTCTTGGAGGGGCAAAAAAATCGATTAACTTTCCAGGGGGGGGGGGGGGGAAAAAAATTTTTAGAAAGTTTTAA